ATACTGATAGATGGATTTAGAAGTGAACTAAAATTAATTTGTTTAATTAAATATTAATTAATTAATTATTGTTGGATTTAGAAGTAAACTAAAATGAAGTTGTATAATTAAACATGAAATAATCTATGAACGAATCGTCCGTCATTCTTAAATAAATTGAGACAAGTCGTATTTACAATTACAATTACGTATGCATAATACGTAAGTACAATTTAGCCAAAAGGAACCAGCGCGAGTACAGAGTTGTAAAAATGTTGCTTTTCCATGATTATCTAAAAAAAAAAAAGTCTCACAGAAAAGCAAATAGTTTTTGCTTCCCACCGAAAAATCGTTAATTTTAAATAGAAATAAATGTGTAAATTTTTATACTTTACGTACATTAAGTATTTTCAAAAAGAAAATAATAGTTGCACGATTTTGAAAACACTATAATCGCGCTGGTACCTTTTTTTTTAAATGCGATCCATACGGGAAAATCAAAAATCGATCGAATTTTTAAAAATCAATAAATTGGAATATCATTGCTCTGCCACGCCGCAAGGTGGATCGAATCAATAGGAGAGGTTGGACAAAATTTGGAAACTTCAAACGCTTATAACTCCGTTTCACAAAACTTTGAGGTTCTAAAAGTGGTTCCATTGGTTTTCTCGTAAAAGTTTCTTGCGAAAGCTTCCCTTGAAATTGAAAATATGACGAAATAAGCATCTTTGCAGTTCTAGTCAAAATGTTCATGTCCGACCTCTCTAATTGACTCGATACGCTGTGCGCCGTACGGTGAAGGCAGAGTGGCAAAATTTTATGAAAAATTAAATCTTGAAATTTCACGTGGAATATTTCATGAAATTTCAGACGTTTATGAAAGATCTTGAAAAACTACAAGTTCCTTTTCATGTTTCGCAAAATGTAAAAATTGTGATTTTCTTCTATTTTTGAGTGTTTGAGCGCGAGTTGCATAATCTAGCCCCTGAAAAATATGAAATATTTCACAACCTCGTGAAATTTCATGAAATATTTCACTGAAATTTCCAATCTTTCATTTATTTCTTACGCTTCATGCTACCCTGCACTGAAAAAAAAAATCTCGGTGTATTTACTAAGAGAAGGGTAAAATTACCAAGAATTCAGGGTTCTATTTGATCCCAGTTTTTTCTTGGTAAAATTACCATTTATGGAATTGGTAATTTTACCGAGAAATCTCGGTAATTTTACTAAACCTTGGTAAAAACGCCAATATTTTTTATCGACTGTGGTAGAATTACCGAAATAAAATGGCCAAGTTACCGGGAATTGATTACCAATAAAAGTGGTATTCTTACCGGAAAAAAACAGTAAAAATACCGGTTCTTAGGTAAGCTTACCAGTCTGTCTTGGTAAAATTACCAATAATTGGTAAAAAAAGTGAGATGGTAAAGATACCAACGGACCTTGGTAAAAACGCCGAAAATTGTTTTCGGTGTGGGTGAAGGACAGCGTATTTAATTTGAACTTTGACCGGAGATGGGTGGTTGTTTCTGAGGAGAGCGGGAGGGGGTGGTGGGTGGCAACAAAATTTCGCCGAGTACTTACCAGAGATATTAAGTTTGCCTCTCTAGGCCGCCGCTTCTGTCGCATAAAAACAAAGAACAATGACCAATTCCTCATGCTCGATGCGCGATGCCCCTCGACTTCGCTCCACCGACTCTTTTAATGTATCTTTATGGCATTCTTCTCTCGCCGCTCCTCTCCGCGTCCTTGTTTTTATTATTTCCTCCGTTTTTTCACGTTTAATTTATTTCGATCACCCCATTTGTCTTGCCTTCCTTGCACCGGAGCAAGTTGTTATTTCTCCGTAAGTCCCTCTCCACTTTCCTCCTCGGCCCCACGTTTCCTCAACAGATTTTCGTGGATATCTAATGTGGGTGTAACGGAACGTGCGGCAATATCGTTAGAAACATTGCCCGCCGTTGTTTATGTTATGTTACTCTCCGGAATAATTGAAGGGCTCAGCACCTGAGCATTTTTTTGATTCCCCAGGAAAATAGTCATGAAGTCACGAAAGTTTGATTCCGCACATCACTGGAAAAAAACACATTGGATCTAGATTCTAGACTCTTGAAAACGTTGACAAGAAAAAATACTCTTGATTCTATCGGATTTTTGCTTGAATCAAAACGAAGTCCGCTTAAATTAAGAAGCTTGGTTCTTGATTTAAGCTAAATTCTGATTGAATCAAGAGTACTTTTTCTTGTCGATGTTTTTAAGAGTCTGGACTCGAGATCCAATGTGTTTTTTTTTTTTTTCTCCAGTGATGGAGAAAATTTCGGTTACAAGTAGAGTACCCATTCAGGGTAATTGTTTTGTCTTTTTGGGGGAGCCTATGATTTTATGACGCAAAGTCCTACGACTAGTTCCTCGGACAATATCGTAACAATCGTAACAAACCACGGAACTCGATAACGGTGTTTGAAAATTTTTGATCTTATTTTATTTTTTCAAGATTATGAAAATTTTCGATCTTATTTTACTTTTACAATGGTATACCGCTCAACATTTTTGAACGGAATTTTCAAAAAACGAAGAAAAATCGAACCAAATTTGGTGCCATATCGATGACCAAGCCTCTTTACCAAAGTGAAAGATAACAAGAGATTTGCAAAGTCGCTATCTGGTTCACGTGGTTTGACGCTCTCGCCATTGATAAGCTCATAGTTTAAAGTAAATGCAGCTCTCCGAGCGACGATCTTCAATCAAAGTTTAATTAATTAATTAATCCTCATTCTAATCAAATGTGCAGCAGGTATCCCAACTTTACCGAATTTTCAAATTTATGTTCAAACTTCCGAATATCCGAAACTTCGTCCTACTTTAACCCGACCCTTGTTCTTAATCTATCTCGGTCAAACAGTTAGCGTGTCATTTTGTTGAGTGCAGCACCAAACAGATCAGAGATTCTGAAATCGTCTTTTTCCGGGAAGAATATCTCAGCCGCTGAAATATTGACTTTCCTGAGCACAAAAATTTCAGAGCTGCAGCCGTTTTACAGACTGGATCTTGTTGAAACATGTTAAGTTTTAAGAGGTGCTTCTAAAAAAAAATTTCACGGAGAATAGAGCCACTTTTAGAACCTCAAAGTTTTGTATAAACGGAGTTATAAGCACTTAAATTTTCCAAATTTTGTCCGACCTCTACCATTGACTCGATCTACCGTGCGGCAAGTAAAAACTAACGTGATTTTCAAGCTGCGACGTTTAAGTCATTGATACGAGCCCGATCGCGCCCTGTTTGATTCGACAAAAAATTGATACGCTACGGCTATAAAAGTGTCATTTGGACTAGGATTTTGGCAAATCGATGTAATCGGTTTCGCGAAAGAGGAATTGGTAGCTAGACACTTAACCCAATTTTTTCACCCGATACCTAGTTTTGCCAACTAATTTAATCCAAGTCATACTTTGGTTGTGTGTTTTAGAAAGGAGGGGTTTCACGTCGGGGTCACCATTATGTGGAACACTCAGTCAAAGAAAGGGACGACTCCTACATTCCACATTCAACTATGAGTTTATTTAATAATACTAGGTTAGGAATATATCAGCTGATAAGTTAACAGTGTTGCTCACGTCGCCCTTTAAGCCCCGCTATAAATAAGATAAACGGAACCGACACAACATGGAAATAGAGTAAGAGAAAGGACTCGCTTTGATGACGGCGCAGGGATACAACTATTCGTGCTTGATGGATGTCCGTGTTGCGTCTGCAAAATTGAAGGCGCTACGGCGCGAGACGTAAGCTCGCGATGCTCCGCTCTATGCTGCCCATGAAGTTTCTCTCTGATTCAGGAGAGAACTTATAAATCCCAGACCCAAAAACGTCTCTCCTATCTTCGGTTGTGTTGATATCACTGTGCAACAAAAAAAAATGACAAAAATGTCTCCCGGACGAGATAAGATGATCATTATGTATTTTGAGGCGCTGAATCCGAATATGACCTCCGTTTTTTTCCCATCACCCTCCAGTTTTCCGGAAAAGTCGATTTTACCCGGAAAAATGGCCATTTTCGGGCATTTTTGGTGTTTTTGCGACTATCACCCCCTGCAGAATGTCGGTAAAATTTTTCTCCGGTACGAGAAACGGCTACTCCGCTGTATTTTGAGCCGCTGAGTCCGAAAATGACCTTCATTTTTCCCTGTCACCTCTCAGTTTTCCGGAAAAGTTTTCCGGTAAATCCGAACTGAGATGTAGGTCTACAAACACATCTTTTAAAAAAAATATGACATCAAATTGAAAAAAATATTTAATTTTGGACTTTTTTCAATTTGATGTCATATTTTTTTTTTTAAGATGTATTTGTAGACCTACATCTCAGTTCGGATTTACCAGCCCCAGAACCTGCGGAATACGTGTTTTCAGGGATCCTTGGGTCAATTTGACCCAGCTTGGGCATCTGATGATTACATTCCATTGTTTGGCAAAATCCCAGTACCTATAACTATATATACTTATAACTGGACTATAGTAAACTATTGGTTCTTAGAGCATTCCACACAAAAACAAAAAACAAAAACAAAAACAAAAAAAAAAAAAAACTATTGAACAAACTTTAAAAGGGGACAGTGAAAAATTTGGATCGGACAACATTGGGTAAATGTCTGGCCACCGAGGAATTAAGTCAGGTTCTTTTAATTCGTATAGACCGTATTCGATAACGGTTCGATGTATCGTTTGGTTCAAAACCATAGAACATAACCTCAAACCAAACTCTAAGGATTTTAATTGGAAAAGCTGAAAATGAGAAATTTCCTGACAATTTCACTTTGAATTGGCAATTGGTACTCAAAAGAATAAAAAATCTGTTTCAAAAGATCCGTTCTCTCAGATTTCTGAATTTACTTTTGAGGCTATGTTTATGTTTTGAACCAATCGATATCGATACAATCTCACCCGTTTGATGTATCGAATACGATCTATTCCATTCCTCCTGTCAGACTCCGAAGGTAACCCTCCTTGTTCTATCTCTGTTCCAGGCCCAAGAGTGGCTCAATGCTACTGTACAGCCGCAAAAAAGTGCGGTACAGGAGGGATGGCTACTGCTGGAAGAAACGCAAGGATGGGAAAACCACCCGAGAAGATCATATGAAGCTCAAAGTTCAGGGAACAGAGGTAATTAGAACTTCCTTGTTTTCTTAAAAAGATTTGGAGTGTACTTCCTTTTTTCCTCTTTGGGGCGGTGCGGGACGGGGAGGGAGGAATTAGCTCCCTTGCCTCAACCCTCTTTTAAAGATTTTTTTTTAATAATATTGTTTACTATTTTTTTATTTCCTTACCATAACCCAATTTAATACTATCTCTAGGTTGCAGGATTTTTTGTAATAAATAAAAAACCTAAATTACAGAAGAAAATAAAGATGATTTTTGATCTTGGAAGAACGAAACATGAACCCAGCCACTGTCTTTATATGGTCACCTTTCGGCCAAAGTATCGCGAACTCCATGTGACGTTTCAAAATTTCCGTCGCCATTTTATTTTTCTACGGAGAAATTGTCAAACGAAGCTGTCCAAGAACTTCTCTGAATTTTATTTGTGCTGCCGATAAAATTCAGTGAAATGTTCGAACAGATTCAACCAACAATTTCGCTATAAAAAAATAAAATGGCGGCAGAAATTTTGGAACGCGTGGCGCTGGTGATACAAGTACTTTGGCCGAAAGGTGACGATATTGGATTTGAGAGATAATTGAAAAATTTTACGTACTTAACTCTTGTACGAAAACTATCCGATTGTCGATCGATCAATTGATAATTTCTGGAATTTAAGGCAATATTCAGAAATCTCCTGAGGGCAAATCGTGCTGCTGCTCAACAAGTATTGAACTCAGAGCGGGGAGCACATCGAATTGACCCAGCACAGAACAACTCAAGTGCATCCCACAAATCGTTCCGCTTTTCGATTCACCATTTCTACTTTAGCCGTTCTAGAAATATTTACCGAGTACATGATCAAAGTTTTTTTGTCAATAGCTGATGCCTTGTACCATGATTTCATTCTGAGAGATTTTTTAAGAACGTCCAAAAATGGAGCTACTATTAATTGATCGATCAAACATCAAAACACAAAGATAAACAATCATGAAAATAGAAAAATGAAGCACCTCACGTTCGAGTCAAGACCGGACACTGGACAGCCAACAGCTCAAATTCTGAAAAATTGATTTTTTTTCTTTTTTACTGTCCATTGCATTTATATATTCTAAAAATTTCGAAGAAGAAAATTCCAAATTATTTTTCATCTTATTTACACCCATTATGCAAATGACATTCGACTATAAGCCAGGTGCAGGATAAAAGTCGGCGGCCTCTGTAAAACTATCAGTAAATCGTATATCAATGGTGAAAGTGCAGAAGTGCGTGTCTCGGAAAACACGATTTTCCAGGAGAGGAAAAAAAAACAGTCTGCATTCCTCTTTATTGTTAGTAGAAGGGTAATAATTCTTGAGGATAGCAATAATAAGATGCTTTTTCAGACTCCATCAGCATTTTGAATAATTTCTCGAACTGTTAGAAACTACGTCAGAAATGCCGAGATTCGCGTTTTCGGCACTAAGAATTGACACTTCATCACGAGATACGCATTTTTGCAGTTGGTGTTTTAAACCTGTTGTTTGCGGATTTGGATCATTTAAAGACTGAAAATAGATTTTCACGCTTACAATTCCTTATGAGATAAGCATCTAGCAACTTTTCAAAACTAGCGGATCCCGAAAATATATAAACACTGAACAGCTGATCAGCTCACGCATGCTGTAGGCGGGAAACACTGAGGAGAGCGCGTTGTGCGTAAGGCACGCCGGGTCAAATGAAGGGGCCAGAAAAAGATACGCATTTCTGCACTTAAGCCCGAGATACGCGAAAAAAGTTCTACAGTTTTAGGGCACCTCCCGATTTTTTTCGATTATAGTCTCATGCTGGCAGATAGACGACATCATCAACTACACGTTTATGCAACTAATGTAACTCAAAACTGTCAAAAATTGAGATACGCACTTCTGTACTTTCACCATCGATGTATCTTGTTTACTTCAAAAGTGTGTCCTCTTTTTTCTCGAGAATTATGAGTCCATTTGTTGAACTTTTACTTCACCACTCTTCCAATACTATTTTTTTCTTTTTTTTTGGTCCCCGATCGTCATAATATTTTGTCTATTCTCTATTTTAGTGCATATATGGATGCTACGTTCACTCAGCCATCCTCCCCACGTTTCATCGAAGGTGCTACTGGCTGCTTCAGGTATGTATTATCTCTTCATATTTCAAATGTGAGTTTTTTGTTTTCTAATGTCTTGGATGCATACTGTAACTTCTGACCTTTTTCATTTTCAAAAAACAATGTAATTTCTCCTCGCAAAGTAATGATCCATATGTCTATAGTGAACTTGCAACATTGTCTCCCTGGTAAAAATTGACGACAGGAGCTGATTTTCAAAATACCATAGGAGTTCTTAAAGCCGACTAAAGAAGGCTATTGAAAATCATATAGCTGGCCGTAGAAAGCGGAGCAAATCATACAGCCGGGCTGTACGAAGCTATAAAAAAGTATACAGTCGGGCTATAGTTCCCATCGCCGGGCTTTACACTTTATCGCCATTGGCTAAAAAAGGCTATAAGAAATTGTGTAGAAATTCGTACGCTTTGGAAATCATTAAGTTTAATACGGAACTACCTTAATATTTACAAAACACACGTTATATTTTCCTTTAATACATATTTTTTCCATCAATTAAAATGAGAATAATCCATACAGAGTGTGCAAACATTTCAAAATCATGAGTTAAAAATCGCTGACTCCGCGAGATTAAACATTAGAGCCTAACACAAAGCGGAGCGGCGACGCACTGGCGCCTACAAACCTAACAGGGATACTTCACGCATTGCGCAATGCGTGAAGTATCCCTGTTAGGTTTGTAGGCGCCAATGCGAGTTTCGCGGTCTCTGCCCGCCCGCCGCGCAGCAGCGTGCCACGGCGTCTGAAGCAACTATTTCACACCAGATGTATTGCACAGTATCTTAAGAAATTGAAGGCGCTCCAACATATTAAGAATGACAGGCATCCTTCAAAAGTACGGAGCTTTCCTCGCAAAGTACATCAAGATACTACGGCACCAAAAGAAAGCGGTACTCCAAAAACTAACTAAGTGCTAGTTTCCGTATTTAGTAACGTTTAGCATAAACTTTATCGTCTGGCTGTTGCTTAATCGCCATCGGCTATAAAAGGCTATAAGAAATTGTACAGCCGGCTACAGAAGCTATTGGAAATCAAATAGCCGGCTTTAGGTCTATAGTATTTTGGAACACACATTCTACTGCCAATTTTTACCAGGGCTAATAAATATCTCAAAATATGTCCAACTTTTAAATTTTGACTTGCTTTCCAACCACGGAGATTAAATGTGATTCCTTTCTATGATATTCCGCCTTTAAATGTGATTCAAAAAGCTGAGAAAACTTCAGAGAAATCGGAACTAAGTTTTACCTGAACCATATTGACCCTTTTTCGAAGATTCTTCCGATGTTTTACGTTTATGGCGGATGGAAAATGAGGCGAAGATTTCGGAGTACCGCAAACGGAATACGAGGAGCTTGGAGGATAAGGCGCATTAGTGCAGTTTTTGCTATTTCAAGAAATGCGTGTTTAAAGTTTCAAAATTACATTCAGCCCCGTGGCCGAAAGGAAGTTTAAACTACCTGTTTAATGATTTATAGTTGGATTTTAGTTGTAAATTTTTTTTACAAAATATGATTTAAAACCAGCTGAAGTCGAGTTCATGAGTATCTCAATTTTTTCAAAAACTGCACTTATGCGCATTGTCTTCCAAGCCCCTCAGCGTGGTTTGTGAGTTTCACCTTCGTATTCCACCGTGCCAAGGAAAAACGCCGTATGAACCTTTGTGCGTTGCCAAATTTATTTCGGTAAAATACGAATTTTCTGGAAAACTTGTGTAAATTTTCCGTCCAATTTTCCGAGAATTTGTGATCTAAATGTGATCTAAAGTATCAGAAGATTTCAAGCAGAAATATTAATGATTTGTCTCAAAAATTAATATTTTCGGAGGGGAAATTGGCAACTCTCGGATATTCATACGGCGTTTTCCCTTAGCACGGTTAAATCATTTTCAAGAGTGTAGCACGGTGGTAAGGAGATTGAGTCTCTATTGATGATTTTTTTTTTCTGCTTTTACTTTCATATGGAATAGAATCCAGACATAGTTTTGGTGCACTACTTGAACGTCCCTTACCCGGACGACAGCAAGCTGGGGGCCGTGGTGACGCCGAGCCTGGCTTTGTGGGCCGACAAGAAGGAGTGGACCAAAGAGGAGCTAGTCTCTCAGCTTCGTCCCATGTGTGAGTCCCCGCCAATCCACTCCGGTGTGTGTTGTCTTCCTGTCGCCTGTCGGGCATCTCGTCGCTTCTTTCACCCCCGTTTCACCCTCCCTCCAGCTTTCTCTTCTCATTCTACTTATCATTCATTCTCCCGCTAAAGCTCTAACCACTCTCGCGAGTTGGCAACACTGCCTTTCCTCAATTTAAGTGCATGTGAAACAATCGGCATTTATTGAAGCAGACTGCTTCACCTAGAATCGCTCAGCGGCATCGAGTACGTAGAGTCGTAATGTGAGTCGGAGAGCTCGGACCACTTTTAAGCATTTTCCAGTACCAGAATTCCGAGACTCCTCGCGGAGAAAAAAACCTCGTGCGTGGGACCCGAAGTTTAGGTCATATGGATCTCTGAAGTTTTCGGACTGAGCATCTGGACACTTTAGATCTAGCGTCGAGTTTCGGATCACACATCTGAAACTTCAGTTCTTACATCTGAAGTACTTCAGATGTGAGAACCGAAGTTTTTCGGACGTGAGAACCGAAGTTTTTCGGATGTGAAAACCGAAGTACTTCAGATGTAAGAACTGAAGTTTCAGATGTGTGATCCGAACCTTGACAGCTAGATCTAAAGTGTTCAGATGCTCAATCTGAAAACTTCAGAGATTCATATGACCTAAACCTCGGGTCCCACGCACGAAGTTTTTTTCTCCGCGTGTCACGCCGCTCAGTGCGAGTCAATCGGAGAGGTCGGACATGAAATTTTTGACTGAAACTGCACATTTTGATGTTTACGAGTATTTCGTCACATTTTAAATTTCAAGGGGTGAAAATTTTACAAGGAAACCAATGGAACAACTTTTAAAATCTCAGAGTTTTGTATAATCGGAGTTGTAAGCTTTTAAAGTTTCCAAATTTTGTCCGACCTCTCCTGCTGACTCGACCCAACGCGCGCCGGGTCACTTTTTCGATACACAATCGATTGTTTGCGATATTCGGGGACCCGAGCATCCACTGTAGAAGAGGATAGGAATCACCACTTATTCTACATCGCCATTTTGGATCCAAAATTTATCGAACAAAGTGACCGAAGCTCGGCGCACGCCGGGCGCGGAAATCATCGTCCAGTTCCCACTTCTCCCATTCACATTACGACTCTATGTAGGTGTAGGTACTCTATACCCAGCGGGCTCATTACTCAAACGGAGCTCTTGCGTGTGTTAGAAATTTGCGTTTTAACCACTGATTCCTATGTAAAATTTCGCGAGAAACACGATGGTGCCACTGGTCTTCTCTGAAAGGAGCTTCCAAGCTCAAGAGAAGCGCTCAAAGTTGAGGCCGTGATGAAGGGAGTATCCCACGCTACTCCGAGAGTCCACCTCTACAAATATCAAGAGAAACTCTCTATGCACAGATAAGTAGCAAATACATTGGCAGGGTTACCACTTTATTTGGGGTCTCTAAATCTGAAAACACGGCAACCGTACTAATGTACCTGCTCCCTATCTTTGCGTGGAGAGGTTGACGAGATATGGAGGTGGACTTTCAGAGAAGGGTGAGATATACCTTCCATCACGGGCTCAAGTTTGAGAGCTTTTCGTGAGCCTTCGAGTTGATTTCAGAGAAAACCAGTGGCACCATCGTGTTTCTCGCGAAATTATTCATTGAAATCAGAACTCAAATTGCAAATTCCTAACACATGCAAGAGCTCCATCCATTTTCATAGTTACCCTTTTTATGAACTGCCCCATGGAATCATCTGCGGTGGCGCCACGGTAGCAAAGAAACATTCACAAATCAGCATGACAGTACTCTCCATTTTAAAGTTCTCCAAAAATGCCTGCTTTGTGCTTTATCGTCACATTAAGGCTTTGCGGTCTCGTGAGTATAGCTAGCGTGTAAGATTATTAAGATCCAAGAATTGTATACTAATTCCTCGTAATTTTTCAGTTGATCTCGGTCTTGGAGCATCCAAATTCTGTTGTTTTTTTGTGTTTTTTTTTTTTTTTTTTTTTTTTTTTTTTTTTTTTTTTTTTAATATAGCCAACCATCCTCGTCCCATTCAAAACATGGGGCTCCAACCACACTGCATCCATGAGGCTGCCTCGGAAACGTCCTTGAGAGCTAAACAAGTGCTGAAAATTGATTCTCTGAAAATGAATTGGACGTACTTCTATCAAACAGAACTATGTGCATTATGACGTGAGCCCTGTTATGCACATATTCTTACGGGCCTCAGGGCTCACGTTTTAATGCACATATTTTCGTTTGGCAGAAATACGTCCAACTGTTGCCCTTTTGCTGATCGAAAGTCGTGATTTAGAGTGCAAAACTTTTGAAAAATCAGCTAAAAAGTACGCATATTGAAAAAAAAAACAAAAAAAAAACGGATTTATCACAACAGCAGCAGCAGAATACCGTTCCCGTGGTGGCTTTCGTCGTGCTTAGAACACACGGAATCGCGTCAAAGCAGTGGCTCACTGGGCTGAGTAAAATTTTTTCGCATCAAAAAAAAAATCTCTCAGGTGTAAAGAAAGTTTCCATGCCGCGATAATTTTTTTGAGTCGTCCCAATCAAAAATATTACACCGTAATAACTGAAAGAGTGCGTTTAAACGGGATGAATCCTACTAATCTACCACATTGCACAGCTTGTTATGGATTCACCTGGATACAACTATTCGTGCTCCTTGGACATGCGTGTTGCGTCCCCTAAATTGAAGGAGAACTGATGACCGGCCGTGTCTAATGATGAGGTATTTTAGACTTGGTACTGGCTATCAAATCAATGTAAAAGAGTGAGGTAAATTTTGACATTAAGGAGCAATCTTTCCCAAAAAATGCCTAGGGCGTGTAGACAGCGATGGTAACCACATCAAAATTTTTAGGCTGCATCTCCCGGAGGTGGACTCAGGGGAAGACGGATGTAACGTTTAGTCGCGAGTCATCTAATAGACCACGAAAGACTGATTTGGAAAGCCTAAGGTCTAAAATACCTCATCTCAGCATGCAGTAATGCGCGTCATCATTTCCCCCTGAGATCTTGGAATACAACACGCATACCCTGAGAGAACGTATAGATGCGTTGAAAGAGTTAAGTCGGTAAGTGTTCATTGTTATTTTGAACTTGTTTTTAGATCATCATGATCTAAATTCTGCCGTGCTGAGGAAAAACGCTGTTTAAACATTAAAATGTTGCCATAGTCCCCCTGATGAAAAATTTATTTTGGAAGAAAGTTATGTATATTTTTCCGTGAAATTTTCAGGTATTTTAAGATGAATAATTGTGAAAAAAAATTGTCAGAAAAATACTGACAACTTTCCTAATTTCGTATCTCATCAAGGAAAGTTGGCGACGCCTGAAGGTTCATACAACGTGTTTCCTTAACACCGCAGAATTGTTCAAAACCAGTCAAAAAAAAGAAGAAAAAAATTAAATGGCCACTATACACGTAGAAGATGAAACCTCAAAACTTCTCATTCCAGTTATTTTCCTCAAAAAGTAGCACCCTCCACCCAAGTAGCAATCATCGCGACAAATAGTGATTTTATCGATGGCAATGTATCGAGATATTCGCGATTTTTACAGCGATTCGATTTTACATTCGATAAAATCGTGATCAATTTTCGCCGATAAAGTCGAGATTAAATCGCCTTTAATCGCTAATTTTATTTCAAAAATATCGTGATAAATTGTCGGACGATAAAAGCGCGATTTTATCCCGTTTAGATGGAGGATAATCGCTCATATGTTGATGATCCTGGCGATTTTATCGCCGATAAAATCGCAGTACATAGCGATTTTTCCGTTAAGAAATGCTACCTGGGCAGCTGTGTAAGTTAAGAGAATTTTCAAGCTCAGCTGATACTACACAGCTCATTACTCGAAGGGCACAGTCAACAATTTTTGAGTGTTCTTCAGTGCAGAAATGTATTACGTGCAAAACATTGTAGTGTGTTTCAAATATTCAGTAATTTATTTTATTCGTATCTTTACTTAGTTTAGATGCTTACTGCTTATTCGCATGCCGGAAATAAACTTCTATTTCTGTGTCTGTGTATTTAATATGTCAAAGGTGGAACTAGAAAAATCATATCTCGATTTACGATGTCGGAAAGCACATCCTATACTTTTTTGAAGGACGGTTAATGATTGTAATTGCAAAAAGAATCCAAGTTTTTTTGCCACTTTACGAACATTTTCTGAAAATTTCATGAGAACATTAGATGGAAGTAATAAAATTGAAGCACTAATTTCGAATCATGAAATCAAGATACATATTCTTTTAGTTTAGCCATTGACACTTTTGTTATCAAGCTTTATATCTCCTATTTTGAATTATTGATCCCTGTAGCATTATTGCATTTTTGCCAGTTCAGTTTTTCAACTCAATGATGAAACTTCAAAAATGTGGTGTGTCATCTTTCAGAGCAAAGGAACAAATTTTTAATGTTAAATGAGCGTTTGATGGTTGATAAAGTGATTGATTGAAACTGCAATATTAAGTAATACATTGTATGAAAAAGGCAAATGCCGGAATAGGTAAAAGAAAAGGTATCAATCTTTGACAGATAGGCCAGTCTGGACTCAGCTAGCTTAAAATAGAAGTTAAAATGAGACGTAGTTATTGAGAAATACAAATACAATACAAATTTTTTTTGCGTTATTGTGAGAGTTAAATGCAAATTAGAGAAAGACTATTAGTTTTTTATTTGTCAGCCTACTTTTTTGTTTTGTAAAAATATTCATCCAGTATGTAATGTACTGTCATTAAAGCATCGTTTGCAATGAGTGTTAAAAAATTATGGGGGGAAGGAGAAACAAATATTAATCAGCCACCACGTTAAATAGTAATATTGAATCATATTTTAGTTTAGCGCCAATTATCTATCCTCCATGTCAAGAGTCCTTATTCCCAGAAGCAGCAATATGAATAAATAACCATAGTTAATGAAAAGAGCTGTATTTGAAATGTTCATGGTTCAAGTTTCTGTATAGTAACGTTTATGTCTCTATTTTCAGTTTACAGTGAAGATGAGCCCGATCTGAATAATGAATTGGAAATTTCGGTAAGATTGAATTTTTTTTCCTTTAGCGGTAGGTTTTGTAAAGATTTATCACTTTATTTTTCAAAGTTTTTCCAACAACTTAAATTCATATTTTCGACTCTTAAAAAATTTGCTAATTCTAAGCAAAAATGTCTGATTGTAAATACATAATTATGCTTTTTCGAATTTCATCGGGCAAGTGGTGATTTCCTCATGTACCTGCAGGAAATGCCTTTGAACTTCCTCTAATATTTTAATAACAAACGTCACTGTATTAAAGTGGCTGATTTTTTCTGAAAATTTAAATATAATTCTCTTCTAAAAAAATAATGGTTCTCTTTCCTCTTATTTAGACAGCAGAAACTGTTGAGGCCATCGTAGGGCAGCTGATGGAAAAACAACGATCCGCAAAAGCTGCAGCTGTTACTAAAACACTTGAGTGCGGGTGTCCAGACTCAACATGTGCAGATGGTAATGCATGTGCTCATCCCCTTCGGCGCATCTCTGCTGCGAAACCAGACAGCAGTAACATGGTACGAAACATGCTATTTAAACAAATTGATGTTGAACTTAGAAAAACACAATGCTTGGTTTCCGACTTTGGGAATCATTGTCATTTTATTTTAGTTTGAGAAAATCGAAAGTTTTGAATTTGTTAAATTTTGCTTGATTTTTCTATCACTGTCAAATATATACTTTAGAGAGATATTGTTTGAGAGGATAGAGCACCAAAATTAAGGTAACTAAATATTGATCCGCAGTGCGGATCAATATTCGGTACATATTGCGGTTTATTATTTTTGTACTTAATGTTCACCATTTTTGTATTTAATGTTCATTATTTTTGTATGTATTGCTCATTATTTTTGTATTTAATAATGTTCATTTTTTTGTATTAAATGTTTATTTTTTTTTACCTAAAAACATTTCAAGAAACATACAAAATTTACTTGGCGCTGAGGTCCTTTGATGTTTTCACCGTATTATACTAATTTATTTAAAAACTACTTTGCTTTCTTTTGAAAACAATATATTAAAATCAGACATAGCCAGACTCTACAATTTGGAAACGTCAATTTCTAGTTCCATCATTTTCTCTTTTTCCAGTTTTATTCTATCCATAATTTATTCATCTATCGCCTGCTCTTTTATGTTACGTATTCATGACAATTTTGATGTCTTTCATCTATTTTTGTATGTTTTGTCAGGTCTCTTCAACAACCGGAAGCTCTGTGCTTGCTCCTATCCCTAGACAACACCAAAATAGCGATGCTGAAGAACATGGCAATGACATATTTACAATCAACGCCCAAAGCGCAAACCAGCAAAGCATTGGGAACTCAAGTGGACCTTTAGTTCTGAGTTTATCGCAGCTCTCAGGTTCCACAGGTAGTTTACTGATCTTGAATGATGCATCCACTGCAGCGGCAAGTAAACTACTAGGAAACAACAATCTTCGTCATTCAGATCAAACACCAAACATAGGCTCATCCTTTATTACATCTAGCCAGCAACAACAGCAGCAGCAACAACAACAGCAACAACAACAGCAGCAGCAACAACAGCAACAACACCAGCAACAGCCACAGCAGCAACAGCAACAACAGCAGCAGCAGCAACAACAACAACAGCAGCAGCAGCAGCATCAACACCAGCAACAACACCAAAGGTCTCTTCATAACCGGAGGAATGATCGGCGGTTGCTTTCATCGCATAACTTGATTTTGAAACAAGAAAACATGGAGGTTTGTCTCAATTTTTTTTCTTCTACTTTAATTCAGATTTTGAAAGAGTGTACTTTGAATTCCCTGTAATTCAATTTTCTTCCCAAAAACTTCGCGGTAGACAGTAGGGTTTTAATGGTGATTGTAGACACTCTTTCTTCTAAAGTTAATCAAGTTATGAGAAATGTCGGAAATTTTCGATTTATGTATCTAACTATTCCCATAAAAAATTCAGGGAAGAACAAAGAAAATCGTGTCAACGTTTTTCAGCAAAATTAATTCGTAGCCCTAAAAAGATCTTATATCTATGGATATATTAGGAGGACCACCACTCTCTGTTTTTTTATTCATGCCATAAATAGCGGTCTATTTAACTGAATTTGTGGGTGGTCTTTCATGTATTATAAATAAAGGCACTCCTTTAATACAGCTTAGAGAAGCTTCTTTTAGCTTGGGTATTGTCTGGGTGGCTCAGCTCAGTAGGAGGGCATTAAAAAAAGGAAGAAAAAAGACAGAATTCATTTTAAGGTGAGAGATCAAAATTGTTTCATCTCTACCAAAAACAGTGAGAGTAGTCAAAAGCTTTGCTGAAAGAAAAATCAAGTGCCCAAGTCCTTAAATTAGCCCAAAAATGTTTTATTCTTGATTAATCATCACAGAATGAGAACAACTCTGAAAGAGATGCTTTATAAAACAAAAGTCAGTTCGCAAAATTTCAACAGCATTGCCAAACAGTTGACATGTAGGTATATTTTCAAATTGTTTGCCTCAATTTTTTAATGTATTCCTATTTGAATCACTAAATACAAAAAGAGCACATGTCCAGAAAACCAAATTGTTCAGGAGACACAAAAACTGTTTATTTCGTGGTAGATATTTTTTTAAACACAACGACTTTCCGAAAAATATCTACTACGAAAGAAACAGTTTTTTGTGTCTCCTGAACAATTTGGTTTTCTGGACATGTGTCCTTTTTGTATTTAGTGATTCATTTATGCTTTGGGTATTTTTTCAGCTAATGACAAGTAATTCTTGTCAAGTTACTTGCAGTCATCCAAACGAAGGCACAGACTCAGGGGTCAGTCTCAGCGCCCCATCAACCAACATGAATATAGTCAATAACAATAAACCAGCTTTGAATACAAGGGTTGAAGTTGAGCAACTAGCAGATAAGATGGATGCCACGAACAGCAATAATCTCCTACCCAAACCTAGCTTTGAATCTTTCCCTAAACAACGTAAAGGACAAAAAGTTTCTGGGGAAGGAGAGAAAGGAATTGATTTATCTTTGCTGGATATGAAGGAGTTCGGCATGTCGTATGACAAAGACACTGCAAATATGCGAAACAATTTTTTTACTTTAGGCTTGTCTCATGATGAGATTCAACAAACATTATCTGCTAATTTACCTCTCTGTGATAATAGGTACGCATCACTCATTTTTCTGTAATTTATTATTACCGATTTAGTCTTTCTTATCTTTCCTTGATTAGGTTTTGTTTGCCCTTTAAAAACTATTCTCCACTAATCATTTATTGCAATTTTTTGTTTATTATAAGTGATCGAAAATTCAGTTGAAGTCTATTGTTCAAGGGGAAAGTATTTGCTACTTTGTAATATTAATAAAAAAAATTACTTCTTACCCCTCAAAAAATATTTTTGCCTTAATCTACATTTTTCCCACCATTCTCTTATAACTTTCACTCTGAACTGTCACATACCTGCGTGCATGGTTTTGCTTTTCTTCAAGGACCGTAAACCTTATATAAATGAAGGAACTTAACTTTATTTTTTTTCATTATTTCTCACAGTAGAGTTTAGGGAAGGTGGGAATCTCTGTTAATCTTAATTTTTCCCAAGTTAACTAAGTAAAACGGTTGGAATTGGGCATATATTGTAAATTACTCTCATGTGATTTTTTCCAGGTTTAGTAATGCAGGTCAAAAAATTCTTGGTGATGATGATGTGTTGATTAACTCTATGGACTTTATTGATGTTGCCGTCTCTGATGATGATGTGCTAGTCAATCTGGATGCATTTGATATGCTGGGAGATTTCCCGGAATTGGAAATTTTAGACTCCAACAATCATGATTCAATTGGTAAGAAAAGTGTGCCTACCCCTCCAAGTTTCCTTTTTCCTTACCAAGATGTATGAAGTGTTAGTTAGTCATCTTTCCCAACTGTTAAGCAAATTTTCTTTTAGAAGCAAGTTTTTGTCTAAAACCCTTCTCCCAGGGCAATTTGATAAATTGAATACCTATTTCAATACCGGATTTATTTTTCCCTGATATTTCAATATGATTTATCAACGATTATCAATATGATTGAATGTAACTGGAGGGTGAATTTTTAATCGTCAGTTTTTGAGAAAGGTCACCAGAAAACTGTAGTGATCAGTCCGTGTGAAATACTTCTGAATTACTGATGGGGGTTGTTTGAATTTTTTTTTTCAGTGGATGGAAGTAACAGCAATAAGAGCGATGGTCAGATTTCCATGCAAACCACACCAAGCACCGGCAAAAGTCAAGAGCAATCATCTGCAAAGCAGTTCAGACAAGGCAGTCTAAATATCTCGGATTTTTCTCCTGACTGGGCCTACCCGGAGGTAAGGATACTTTATGCTAAAACAAAATGCCTGTTTACATAAACAAAAGTCTTTTTGTAAAAAATCCTCAATGAATCAAAAAATTCACTCAAATAATTGGAGACACACCATTAATAACAGGCTAAGTGCCAAAAGTTTATTTCTTTATAATTGTCGCAACACATACCACCAACGTTGTCTTTCCTTTCTCAGACGTTGTATGCACTACTAAGCATTTTGTCCTTGATGCTTGTAAAAAAATGGCACATTTATCTGCTTTTCCGATTTTCTGCCACTTATTGATAGCCCGTTATCGAAGTTAAAGCTTCAATGAGGGCAGCCTATTTTAGGTAAGAATTAACAAAGGAATAATTGTTTCCTATTGTCTTCAGGTTGAAAAAATTGATGAGTGGGTCAAAATTCCTAAAAAAATAAATTATAGTTGCTTCTAAAATGGACAGTTAAAGACAAAATCAAGTTAAAGGCCTCAAAATCTGTTGAAATTGTTTTCACAAACAGAAAATTTCATCATCGTCCTCTTCATTTGGGAAATAGTCAAATTCCCAGAGATAAAGTTTCAAAATATTAAGCCTCCACCTGGATTCCAAACTCAGGTGGAAAGACCATATCAAAAAAAAGTAGCTCAAATTAAATTAAAATTTTTAAACATGTATTGGCTACTAGGCAGAAAATCTAAGTTAGACCTCAAACTAAAACTATTACTCTACAAGTCAATGTTGAGACCCATATGGAGTTATGGCTACCAATTGTGGGGTTGCGCAGCCAAAACAAATCTCAACCAGATAGAAATAATCCAAATGAAAATCCTCAGAAATATTGCTAAAGCTCAATGGTATGAGAGAAACGCGGATATAAGAGCGGATCTCAACATTGACTCTGTAGAGGATTACATTACAAAAATGCATATCTCCTACGAAAATCGTTTACACAACCATCCAAATCCAGAAGCGCTTGCATTGCTGTTCAAAGATGATGGCGTAAGGAGATTAAAACGCAGGAAAACCCATAAGCTTGGAATCCAGGGTTTTTCAAAAAATTTTCCATAATAATTAAAATCTTTGAGCGCCTCCTATTTCTCTAAGGACTTGTCAGGAGACACTTGATTTTTGGACGGGTCAGCCCGCCATAATTCAGTTAAAATGAAAAGACATTTTTATTTTATAATAATCGTGTTTTATTTACACTCCAGTTAGTTTTAGGTAGTACACATTAAGTTAAATCTTAGTTAATAGTTAGTAAGTTAAGCTAATCTAAAATTAAGCATTTTAAAGACATTTTACATGTCTGAATGCATTTATTGTACAATTGTTAATTATTTTGTGCAAATCAAATAAAAAAAAAAAAAGTCACTTCTAAAAGCAATAACTTGCTTCTTCACAGTGCGTTACTACACCTATTTTAAAACAAATTTTCTGATGTTACCACATGTGATTGAACAAAAGTGCTATGTGTAAGTCTTTGAGGCATCGGCTTTAAAATTAATAAGATTTCCTTATGAACGTTGCAGGGTGGCATCAAAGTGTTAGTCACCGGACCATGGCACTCAGCATCTGCCAATTACACAGTTTTGTTTGATTCTACGCCTGTACCAACCACTTTAGTTCAAATGGGAGTCTTGCGCTGTTATTGCCCAGGTTTGTACTTTTATGGAGCTCATTATTTTTCTACATAAGGTGCCCCAAAAATTGTACCAATTGCTCAGATTGCGCTCAGTTGCGTTTAAAAGCATTTGAATACCTCTAATCTTTTTAAGGCTGCAGCTCCTCACCCTCTCCAAAATTGGTTTTCAAATATCATTATAATTTAGATTTTTTGGACTCTCGAGCAATCTATCAAGGATGTCTCCTTTCAGAAAAATTAAATAGTACAAGATCATCTGTGATTAAATATGCCCACTTGTTCCTCTCTTTCAGCCCACGAAGTTGGAATAGCATCATTACAAGTTGCTTGTAATGGGTTTGTGATCTCCAATTCAGTGATGTTTGAATATAAAACATCGCCATCAGAGGCAGAGACCGCCCAAAGTGAGGAACGATACTCAGGTGGCTCAAACGCAGACAGGCATCGAAGCTGGTCAGCTGAGAATGACTACGAAAATGACAATCTCCTTAGGTTTACGCTCATGCAACGACTTGAGGCTGTGGACGCTCAGCTACAAATTAAACAAGAACCTGATACTGGCTCTGATCAGGTATGTTTCCTCTTAAAACTATCTCATTCAGTTTACATGAAAAAGCTCATATTATATAAAAAAAATCTTGATGAAGCAAAGAAATAGGCCAGTCCTTTTGATTTCTTCTGTCGAATATCTCTATACTATGCTTAAAATTCCCAACATGGCACTGCCTCAACTCTTGTTAAAGCAAACATATTTCAACATGGTCTAATTTACGTTTGTATGGAGAATATGAACTGATGGACCCATTTCTGATTGGTTCAGTTTTCTGCAGCCTCATGGGGCTGACCAGGATCCAACAAAATAGCTAATATTGCATGCTGAAGGCTTAAAATGTTGTCAAAAAGTGCAGTAGGTGATGAACGCCAAAAGTTAACAACAACGCCCCCTGATCCGAAGTCACAGCCATTTTTCTGAATTAATGAGACCCAAAAATGCTGTACAGTAAGACCTCGAATTATCGGATCGCGATTTAACGGATTCCACGATTTAACGGATCGATCATCCGGTCCCTTCAGCAGGACCGACTAGCGCGATTCAGCGGATTCTGCGATTTAACAGAGTCGACCTCCACTCCCGTGAAATCCGATAAATTGAGGTCTTACTGTACTAAGAAAACGCTGTATGAGCCTAATTATGTTGCTAAAGATTCCTTGACAAATCACGAATTTCCAGGAAAATTTATTAATATTTTTCTTCCAATTTTTCAGAGAATTTTGCCTGTAATTTTATAACTTTTTTCAAAAAGAAATATTTTCTGAGAGAAAATTTGGCAACATTCGAATGCTCATAGGTGTTTTTCCCTAGTATGGCAGAATGGCTGTACTATTTATAAAGGCCCACCTATTGCATTCAGTAAGACGCTGTCTGTTTTGTCTTAATTAGTAAGCCAACTTAATTTCAGTGTTTCAAACACTGAAATTATTCTGGCTCACTATTTCAGTCTTTTAAACACTGAAATTAAACTTGCTTACTAATTACCCATATCTGGAACACTGTATTTATCGTGCGCATTGTGTTTATGTGTGTATGTTCACAGTGCTAATTTATGATATTAGGCTCCTCATTTGAAATGTGCTCTTTACATGGCACTTCTTATGTTTTTTTTTGTTTCGTTTGTCTTAAGCTATATTACAGAAACTTTCCCTTCAACGGGATTAACCTGATACATTGTATCCTTTTATCTTTTAGTTTTTTTACTGAGTTTCTCTTCTGTCAGCAAATAGGGAACTTGAGCGAGAGTCTAAAAAGGAGAAAAAAGCAAGAACTGAGGACAGTATGAGGACTGGCACAAAATATAGAATGAATAGAACAAAAACCTCAAAGCAAATTAAACATCTTTCAAGTGAAGAAAATAAAAGTAAAAGGATTGAGCGAAAGGAATGCATTGATTTGAAGGATGAAGTAAAAATAACTTGAGTAAATATGTTAAACAAAAGCTTTTCAAGTAATTCAATTTTTAATTCATGCACTGTGGGAAAGAAATACCTTCATGAATTCCCTCATTTGTTTCATTCCTTCTCCAAATAAGGCCTTACGACTACTGAGTCGACGTGATTTTGAAGAGCAGTTAGTATCATATTGTCAAGGACTAAGTACACGAGAATGGTGTGAGACTGCCCACTCAATCACTAGCAGATGGTGCCCAACACATTACGGGATGACACTCCTCCACATTGCAGCAGCGCTTGGCTATTCAAGGTGCGCTGCGTTTTTTAATATTTGATCAATTTTTTTTTTTTTTTTTTTTTTTTTTTTGTATCTTATTATCCTATCAATCTTTTTTATTCAGTTTACGTACATGTATGTACCCGTTTGTACTTAAAATTGAAAAAAGTTACAACCTTTTTTTAGGACAAACTTGAAAATAATTTATTTGTTAATCAGGAAATATGTCAAGTTTCAATAACAAAATCTATTTACTAAGCTGCACAAACAAATTCTTGGACAAACAGTGAATCAATACATATGATGAAAGCATGATTTATGCACATCGACCTAACGGATAAAGAGAGACTAACGAAAATTTGTATCAACAGTCAACGCGTATGGAAAATATTACGTGGACGCTCACCCAAGAGATGGGCACAAAGCTGGCTCTCTTCTCCCAAAGTGGTGTAGTCGTAAGTGGAGGAAGGAGAAGTTATGTTGTACGCCTATTCACTGCCTTAAATGCCCAAACTTTGTATCAAATTTCCTTTTATTGAATAAGGTGTCTCTCACCCAGATTCAAAAGATCAAGCTCTCTTTGAGTGAGTAGTCAAATAGGCAAATATGTGTACCTACTCCATGCCTTGTTAGCTGAATAATACACTGTGATCTGTTGCAGACTTGTTTGTGCAATGTTACACTGGAGAGCGGAAAATTCATCCACTATACTAGACTCGGAGGTCGACGCTTTGTGTCAAGATGATAAAGGATTCACTCCTCTTGTAAGGATCCATAAAAGTATTTCATTTTTGTGACTGTCCTTAGGGAACAAAAACTTATATAATGCAATCAGCAATTTTTCATACAAGCAACTTTTACCAAGTTGAACTGAGAAATTAGATTTGGATTTTTTGACAAAAAACACAGTAAGCTCCCAAAGTCTAAGTTGCTGAGTGATTAGTTCATTTTTGTGCCAATGTAGGTCTTTAAAGTGCATTTCAAACCAAAAATTTTGAATACCAAACATCGTAGGTGAAAATTTGAGATAGTTTCTTTGCGAAACTCTTTTTGTCAGACCGTGCGCGTCAAATCATCATTAGGCTGGGTTGTTTCAAAATTTTAAGAATGTTTCTGCCCCAGTGTGTGTAAGATATTCCTTCATGCAATTTAATGTATTAATTTCCCATTGTTAGGCACTTAGGCTCCTCCGGACTGCTATTCATTCTTTTTTTCTGATACCTTCCTATTTATAACATAATTTTTTTTTCTTTTCCAGACATGGGCTTGTGCTAAAGGTCACCGCGATACTGCTCTCCTTTTATATCAATGGAATAGCTCTGCTTTATCAATCATGAATGTGTATGCGCAGTCACCACTGGATGTTGCCAGACTTAACTCTCATATACATTTAGCCAGTGAAGTTGAAAGGCTTGAGGATGCAAGGAAAAAGAATATGAGCACAGACAACGGTTCCCCGTCTAATTTGGCAGGTGGTAATTTCATCCCATAGTCACTTGTGTCTTCTTTTATAGTCTCTCAACACACATACTGCTAAAATTGTAAATGATATTATAGTCACTTTCCTTTTCAGTAGGAATGTCCCAAGTTGAAAACATTTCTATTTTAGTAGAGGACAAACATTTGATTCGCTGTTCACATCTCTTTATCTCGCCTAGGTGTGAGAAGAGCTGAAGTATAGAGCTGAAAAAATATTATCAGCTCTAAAAATGTTTTATGTTAATTTTAAGACTGGTTCATTTTTTTTCCAGATGTATCAACCACAAACCTCTTAACAAACATTGATAGTAATTTGATGAGCAATAAAGATGAGGGGGTGTTCCTTCGGCCTGATGCTGCATCAAGGTATACAGTTTCAACTTTTTAAACTTTTTTTGTACTCTCACTTTCATTTCCTCAGGGATAAGTGAAACTTGAAATCCATCTACATCAACTTTTGTTTTACCTTCATTTTAAAATTTAAATGTACTCTCTCTTTAAATTATTTCATTTGCTGTTTTTTGTAGGAATGTGTGTGGAATGGAAAAATACAAAGTGCTCAGTGTGGAACTTCATGTCAACATTCCAAATCTGACAGAAACGAGTGAAACCTCACAGTCTACGGATCCAGGTAAAATTTTGTCCTCCCAATTCTCTGCAGGTGTAATTTTGCTTGTCGAGAGTCTATTGAGAAAGTAAGTTTATACAGCCCTTATCTGAGAAAATAAAAATGGACAATCAAATCCGTAAAAAGTCCCTGATTTTTTTTGTGTCCAGGAATTCCCTGGTCTCAATTCCAAAAACTTGGACATTTTGTAGAGCTCTAGATATTGTGACATATAAATATGTACATGGCTGTTCTTATTTCCCTCCCTGTCTCTGTCTGGTGTCTGTATTCCTATTGGGGGATCAGGTAAGATTACCAATAAGAATACAGACACCAGACAGAGACAGGGAGGGAAATTAGAACAGCCATATACATATTTATATGTCACAATATGAAAAATAAGGAAAAGTATGCCATCTTTTTTTTGCTCGAAGTATGGCATCTTTTTTTTGCTCCAACCAAAAACTCTTAGTGCAAAAACAAAAAATCAAATAAAAAATGAAATCAAATAAAAGTAACCAGAAAAATTCAAGAGCACCTGTTGCTTTTTTTTTTTCATCTTTCTCATAGCAGATGTTTTATTCTATCGTAATTCATATGGATGAATGAGTCAAATATCTCTGTTTTAGGTGGCACTGCAAGTATACTCAGTACAAACAACAGATCTCAACCGTCATCGCGGTATCTAATCAAAACAGCAGCAGCAGAAAACATTACTTTTTTTCAATCCTCATCAGCAGAGAGTCTCATTGCCGCTGCATCACCTGTTAATAAATCAAACGTAAATTCTTTGTCCTGTAACTTTGATGCTCGGAAGTTCTCAAGGTAGGTTGCTGGCCAAAAGATACTTTAATCCTGAGTTAATCAATTCTTCCATTAAATGGACGTATTTCTACCAAACAGACCTACGTGCAGGTGAGAAATATGGGGTGTGCTCGTCGAAGTTGCATAAGAAGCAATGTAAAAGTGTGCGTGATTCCTTTTGAAGAATTGGAAAAGCGGGATATTACATTCTATCAAACAGACCTATGTGCCAACTGAATGCGGGATTCATGAGCCGCGAGGATGGGACGAGAGCGTTGTGGACAGGGCTCATGAGTTAAAGCAGCCCACGAGCGACAACGGCGACGGTTTCTTCGCCGCTGACGTCACTGGCGCCTCATTATTCTTATTCACTCTTATGGCCAGAGAACTAACGAGCACACACCATATTTCTTACTTGCACATAGGTCTGTTTGATAGAAATACGTCGAAATGGCGATTCAATAGTCTTTTGGCTGTTGGACTGTCAACATGGTTATTTACCTAAAATTTCTATCTGCTTGCAACATTTTTTCTAAAATTGAGGGGCAAATATCTCAAAAACAGTACATGGAATTCCCAACCAGATTTTTTGAATTCACTAAGATTGAGCGTCTGTAAGATTTTTATTCAGGATGATGAAAGTAGTAATACATTTTAGTTTCATCAACTTTACAGAAAGACAATTTCCAGGAGAGATTTTCTTCCCCTCTCATCTCAATTAATACTTCAGTATATTAAATGAAATGTTTGATTTTATTTTAGTTATCGCCTAGATCGAAGTATGTCTCTCCCTCTCAACTCTCCAATGTCAGATTCAACATTTGACTCTGGAATATCCTTGGACATCTCCCATGACACTCATCAGCTGCCGGACCGTGAGATGGATTTTGCACTTTGTAAGTTTTTTCTTCTTGCTTTTTTTCGTTTAAATTTATCATTTTGATTTATCATAGGTATCAATATATTTCCAAAAATGAAGGCTGAGTACACTAATTCACAAAGCAAAACTATCGGTTTTATCCTTATATAGACGTAAAATATCTCTGCACAATGTTTCGTACGAGTGATGCATTTTTGCTAATTCTTAAGAAACTCTGCACCACCTCTTGGTAAGTTGCTTGGAGTGCTGCTTTGCATGCAACATAACATTGCAAAGTATTTGAATAGAGGAGAAAGTTAAATTCTCCTAGGCCAAAGCATGCACATTAAGAGTAAGCTAAGTAATTTTAAGCCTAGAGTTTGAGCTGAATATTATGACTAGATCAGAAATTAAGAGTTTAAGAAGGTTTTATCAGGGTGCTCAATTTAGCAGTAATTAATTGAGAGTAAGAGCCCACCCCACCCACTACTTATTTCTAAGTGTATTTCTAACAGTATTTCTGCCGTGCTAAGGAAAAACGCTAATTGAAAATTCGAGAGTTCCTCCAATAAAATGTTCATTCTTCAGGAACATTGTGAATGTTTTCTCTTGAAATCTTCAAATAGTTTACATCTGATATTGAATAAATTCCCTAAAAAATTTGAAGAAAATTTTTCAACAATTCCTTAAAAATTCATACTTTATCAAAGGTAATTTGGCATCATCTGAAGGCTCATACGGCATTCTTCCTTCGCAAGGCAGATTTCATGATAGAGTTACAATAACTTTCATTGTTAAAAAATTGCAAGAAAACTAATTTCAACAAGGTACATATGCAATAATACTAGAAATGAGCAACAATTAACAAAAAGATCAGTCAGCTCAGAGCTTTAATACTTAGTCCCGTTTTTTTGATGAAAGAATGAATCTAGAATAAATTTGAATGTAGTAATTCTTTGCTGGTTTTTAAATCCAAAGTCCATGCAAAACGTTCCTTAGGCCCAAGAATGACTCCCACATCAGGTTGGTGGTCGTCAAATCAGGAAAATACATTTCGGATCAATCTCTAAAATTTCTTGAAGAAACGACCAATTGAACTTAAGTGCAAGCATGTGCCCATTGCTTTCATCTTAGTTCACAGTTTTCACCGCACCATTTTTTCTTTGACAGAACACTCTTGTAAAATAAAATCAGCTTCATTCCTCCTGAACAAGTTTTGCTGCTTTTAAGGAATAAGGTGAAAAAAATGGTACAAGTTGGAAAGTGGCGTTTTGTACAATGACTATTGAAAATGTTGAGTAAAATAACTGACTAATACTTACAGATTAATGACATGATTAGTATGCCAGTAAAACAGACCAGGTAATCTGGCTTATATGATATGTTTTTGTCGTTCCAGACCCTCATTCAGAGGTTGGTTGAATCACATCAGCTAAAATGAAATACTGTCAAATGGATGAACTAAACCTCTCAAAATGCCCCAAATATTATCTCTCTATTAAATGACTAATTGCCTAGGAAGGAGGTTTTTAAAAGCTTCGGATATTAAAAAATAAAGCATTTTGTTCAAAAAAATGTCTAAGTGATTTAAGAGAACTTCTCAAGATAAGAGGAAAATATTTTCAGGTGTCGCAGGGCCATCCTCATTTAGATCAAGGTCATTATGCTCTTATCATAAGCTTAATTGGACGTATTTCTATGAAACAGAACTATGTGCAGGGGATAAGATGGGGTGCGCTCGTTAGTGCCCGGGCCAAAAGAATGAATGGGAAATATAAAGCGCTAGTGACGAAGCCGCCGTCGCGCCTCCTCCACCCGCCGTTTAACTCATGAGCTCTGTCCACAAGGCTCTAGATACATGCCCACGGCTCGTGGGTGCCGCACTTAGTTGGCTCACAGTTCCATTTGCTGGCTTGAAGAAGCGGGATTTCACGTTCTATCAAATAGAACTAAGTGCACAGTGTATGAGCCATGGGCATGTATCTGGAGCCTTGTGGACAGAGCTCATGAGTTAAACGGCGGGTGGGAGAGGCGCGACGGCGGCTTAGTCATTGGTGCTTTATATTTCCCTTTCATTCTTATGGCCCAAGCACTAACAAGCGCACCCCATCTGTCCCCCTGCACATAGTTCTGTTTGATAGAAATACGTCCAATTCGTGAGCTGTTTCTGAAGAAACAACTTGTATGCACGATAACCCTTTGCAATTTGTTTGCCTTGCTTTTGTACTTTTGGCGATATCATTTTAATCAAAATTTTTGTTAGCACAAATTAAAGTTGAGTAATTATCACAGGCCAAGTTGCTTTCAAGTCAAGTTCTCAAACCCTGAGTCCACCCATGCTGGATGTCGGTGCTTCAACGAGTTTTTCTGAGACATCTGAGAATGTTGGTTAGTATTGATTCTCATCACAGTTTTTGCCAACGACCCTACTACTGTACATCTGTCCATTGGATATCATTTAGCAGAACCAGAATCCCAGTACTATTGACTGTTTAAAAAAAAAATCCCTGTTGATTTGAAAGAGGAGAACCGCTACAATAAAACTATTAAAATATACTATTAGGCGTGAAAATGCCATTTTGATCTTTTGTGAGCTCTTCATCATTTTTTTCAATGAATTTTAATGAAAACTGTACATAAATTTTCAGTACGTAGCATTTCACCAAATTTTGTAATGAAAGAAAAGTTAGGTGCCCATTTTTTTTCTTTAACACATATTTTTGTATATTTTATGTGAGATATTCCCAATTTGTGCATTTCAACAGCTTTTCAATGTTTTTTAAGGTTAAAAACTCCTATTGTTAGTCGAACAGTCAATACTACCAGGAAAGAGATCTATCTACCATTCTACTTTTATTTGAAAGAAGTCTTGTCTGGAAATAGTTACTAGTCAAAAACACATGTGCGGCAGAAAGGCGCATGAAATTTTTAGAGGAGTAGATGACCAAACCATGAGCTTTCATTAGCACCATTCAAACCTTTATTGAGTATGCCAAAGATGCCAGAGGATTCAACTCTTAAATAGAATGATTCCTTCCATTACATGAAGTCAAATTATCTCCAAAATCCCCCATCTTAGTTTTCTTTGTTGGTGTTCAAGTTCTCTAGAAAGGTTTTGCTTATCATCTCAATTTCATGCCTATTAATCGTGATGAATAGTCTCTGAGAAACACAAATGATGTTTCACATGTAGACTTGAGAAAAAAAAGAAATATGATTGGAATGTGAAGAATGTATGTGTATTACAAGGATTTAATCAGTCCTTTACAGTAGAGGGTCGCAATAATATTTTTTCTGTTTAGAGCTACTGTGAGAAAACTGTCTAGCAATCTCATTGCTTGTGGCCCAATCTCTTGTACCAAAGAAAATTATTTGTGGTAGAAATAGAAAGGGGGCAGATTGAGTCATAACCCCTCTGAATTTTATATGTATATGAAGCCGAATTGTGCATGATATAAGTAATGATTGCCAACAATTTCTTAAAATGAAATATGAGAGATCAATTATAATTGATGCTTTTATTTTCCGAACGAAGAAATTTGATAATGCATGATATTTTGGCTCATGCAAGCTATTTTATTGGCCTCTGTCATTAGTGCTATGTATTAGCAAATTCACTTTTAGCTTCTCTCTCTGCAACTATTGATAACCTTTGCACTACACAGCACTATACAGCACTCTATCGTTAGCATCTCGTCGTTCTATGAAGGAAATAGATCTGGTGGCGCCTGGAGGCTCAGCGGACTCTGGCAATTTTATCTACAAAGTGAGAATGCACGAGAAGGCGCACTTCTGTGAATGACTGATGATAGGAGAGTTGCTCAGAACGCAGGCATTATACTTTTTTGTTCCAAGCAACTCATTTAATTAATACCTTTTTATTTCATCTTGTGCAAGTTGTTAATTTTTATACTAAACTGTTTTTTATTTTATGTAAAGTTTTTCGTATTAAACTCCTCTTACGCCTTTAAGCGCTCTTGAATTTTCCTCTTGCTATTACCAAACTAGTAGGCCTAGTTTGCCTCTGGATGTAGATTCTCTGAAGAATCATACTAAGAAAATATAAAATCTCTAATGAGCCATATTAACAAAAATTTCACTATGCCTATTCAAAAATAGGGTGCTAAATAATCTTAGAATTTCTTGTGAAAGATTGGTGTTTCCAATGATATGCTTTATTTCGCAAATATACTATATTTTCTTTTGTTTTAGGGGAGCAAGAAGTACGAGTCTTAACACTAGCTGAGCAAATCATTGCTGCCATACCTGATCGTATTAAGGTGATTATGCAGAATGTACAAAGTTGATCGTAGATTTACTCCAGAAACTTTGAGTGGTTGTTGATTTCTTTTATCCCCTCTCTCTCTTTAAAAATCTTCCCATTGACCATACACAAAAAGGTCGCTGATTTATCCATAAGAGTAGATTCTTTTCGATCTTCAGTAAGCAGTTATTATTTTTTTTATTAAACTTTTGCAAACTTTTTTCATCGAAATGATAAATTTCAGTACTAGATTAGTAGGACATTAATTATTATTCAAGTATGTATGTGTTCGTAAATTATATCAATGTTCGTGGCACTTTTATTTAACCCAGATAAATTCAACCAGACATCAGCTTTGGCAAAAATGGCTCTAACATAAATATTTTAATAGTTTGAATCAAAAGTGATTGAGAGGTGAGCTGTGAATTTCTTTTTTTTATTTTTCCAATTTTTTTCCTCTGTTCCAGTTTGATTAATACCAAAGCGATGAATGAATCTAATTTCCTGCTGTGTAGGCAGAGCAATTTAATCATGAAACAAGTGTTAAGTCCTCTTTTTAAAATGCTTTGTGTAATCTGTGTAAAATCCATCTATCCATCCTATCATGTTCTCTAAAACTCCTTCCAATGAGCATATTTTCTAAATTTGTTTTTTAAGATTGAAAGTGACAGTGAAGAGATGGATTCACTGGTTTCTTTGGAATCTCCCCTGCCACCCCCATCATCATCTGCATCTTCATGCTGTTTTGACTCCGCCTCTCCTGATTTTAGTTTCGAGCCCTGTGACAACAACTATAGGTTAGTACTCATTTCATCCGCCAGAATCTATAACAAATTAAAAGGTACATTAAAGAGACCAATGGATCATCAGAGAAGGTACAAAGTTAAGCATTCTGATGCATGTTTCCCCTTTGAAATTTTACTTAGAGCTAAATTTGCGCAACAAAAATTCCTGAAATTAACCATCAAGACATCAGCACTTTTATGTAGCTTTCGTTACGAAAAATTTGAATTCATGGAAATCTAAAGTCTACTTGAATCAAATCATGCACTACAACAGATTTGGCAGGCTTCTCAATAAAGGGCTTTTTTTTATCCATGGAACGCATGGTAGCGGTTCGGGCTGGTTCAACCGGCCGAACCACGGCCTCAACCAACCTCAACTCACCTCGGGAGAGCGGTCCAAATGTTCCACTGGAACACACGGAACGCGCCAGTGGAGCGGGATAAAAAAGTGATGCGTTGCATAGCTATCCTCTGCAGTTCGGATAAAAAAAGCCCTTAAGCTGTAACGTGTTTCTTCCCCATCCTGTGGTGCTAGAAAAGTAGGCAACAGAGAATAACTGAAACCAAGTGCTGATATTTATCGCGAATAAATAATAAATATAAACATAAATATTCAGCGGGTATTATGCTGTTGTGAATTTTTATAGATTTATTAATTTTTTCCACAAAATGATTGTGGGACGGATTTGATTAAAAATTTGAAGAAACTGTCTTAACATTACCGGGAAAATTCTATAAAACTTCTAAAGAAATCGGCAACACCCATCTCTCGTAAATAACCGAATCATCCAATAAGATTGAGCAGTGACTAATGGATATGACTTGTTGCCTTTTTGAAATACACTGACCATATGGTCCTCGGTTTATAACCACCCCAACAAATATCAAGGATGGATGAGTAGGAGGGTTTGTAATACCTTAAAAAGTCCTTAAACATAATTTAATTTCTAATGCAACGCTTTTGATTTGGTTTCTTGTGAGACTTTGGTTTGGACTTGAAAAATTGAACTTCGCATATGGAAAAATGTTGTGTCGCAATATGTTACGGCGGGAATTATCTATATTTGCGGAGGCCATACATGGCTGCCATCCTATGGCACCATTATAATGTCACAGACAAGGTTAGGCAGACTTGTAAAATTTATTCTAAATGAATCAATGCAGTAATAACATGTTCATTTCTGTGCAGGCACTATGACGTGGCTACTCCAGGCTCCAGTCTAAGTCCCGCATCCTCGAGCTGTTTACAATCCCCTGCTCCATTCCCACTCCCTGACTCGCCATCACCCCCACCTACTACAGCAGATTTCTGTGAATTTTTCCAAGCTTCATCAAACAACAGCCTATTCTTTGAAAAAGATTTCTCCAATTTAACTTTGTCAGGTATGTCGTTTAACATATCTTCATATCAGCATTTAATGTCATCCTTGTTCCATGGAATCCAAGGAAAATCTTTTGTAGAAAATTGTCAAAAATTGATGCTTACAATCCCTCTATCCTTTTAGAAACTATCAAGGAATGTTGTGATACGATGAGCACATCATCATGATTTTGTAGACAGCCATGTATTGCATTAGTATAGTTAAAAATTGCCATATATTGCAATGAAATTGCTAATTAATCAGTACTGATTTTTAGCAGTATTGTCATTGAAAAATCGCAATAAATTGAGGTGAAATCTCATTCCTACTAATTGATGATACCATTGATATGAAGCTGCTCTTACAGTGACAGCATATCAACCACCACCACCATCTTCCAAACCCCAATTCTCCCATATTCTTAATTTAAATATACTTTATACTTCAAAGTTAACAGTTTTGTATTCAATGTCCAACAGATCGAGAGCAAAGGGAACTGTATGAGGCAGCAAAAATAATTCAGAAAGCATACAGATCTTACAAAGGTAGAAAAAAATTGGAGGAGCAAGACAAGGAGAGGACAGCAGCTGTCCTCATTCAAAATTATTACCGACGGTACAAACAAGTGAGTGTGACATGAGCCAATTTTGATGACGTGTCAAATCGAAAATGTATTTTCAGTAATTCAATCTGCAATTGATACTTTAATTTATATTTCTATGCCTAGTACTGTATCTTCATGATACAGAAAAGAAATCGTTAAACTTCAGTAGGAAGTGTTTTCCAGTGGTAAAATCTAGCATTTTTCAAAATATATGCCCTTGAATATTTGTAAGAATTGAATTATACACTGACTAAGGCAGTGGCAAGGCGTGAATAATCGATTATCGATCTATCGCCATTAAAAGCTATGGTAAAGAATCGATTAATAAGGTGTTCGCTGCAAACACCTTAATCGATTCTTTTCCATAGGTTTAAATGGCAGATCAATCGATGAATCGCAAAGCACTCAACGCCACTGGACTAAGGTAGATGCAGAGAGAAAAGTACTTAAGGAAAAGAACCTTACAAGAAATTACTGAATCAAAAAAATGTAAGCATTGAATCAGTTATTTGAAATCATGTAAATCAAGGAAGCTTTATTCTTTTTTATTCAACGTTCGGCATGTATTGTATACTATTCTCTGAATGATGCTAACAATAACGAATCATATGGAGAGAGTAAAAGTATGAACAGGCTTGAGTTAAGTATTCATTGTTAAGAGTAGTAGAAAGGGAAGTGTATAGTTTCATTTGTGTTCTTTTGTAATTAAAACATGAACACATGTAAAATTATTAATATTTCTCATGATTGACTTTGTCTGTTGGAAAAAAATTAAACTCTGAATTTTGTAAAAATTTCAGGATCAGATGCGGTTTTCATTTTTCCTCATTTTCCAAAGAAAGAAAAATAATATTTTTGCTTATCCTTTCCAATTTTTTCCTCTTTGTTAGGTCGTTTACAAGTAGACATATTTGGTTCTTCTAATTCTAATTTCCCTGTGGTATCAAAATAATTTGTTTTCTTATCTGATTGACCAGTACGCTTACTTTAAGCAAGCAACTCATGCGGCAATGGTAATTCAACATGGCTATCGTTCCTACTGCGAGAACAAAAGATTCAAGAAAAATTATCACAACAGCAATTCATCATCCCCTTCCAGTAGTTTAAAGTAAGTTTTCGAAACATTTCCAGTTCTTGTAGTCTGTCTGCCCTAAGCATAACGTAAAAACATTGTGAATGATTTTTTCCTTTCAAAATATTCTTTAAAGAATTCAAAGTGACATGAATGTGCATAATAAATAATAATACTTGCAGCCTATTGACTTGTCTGTAAGAGCTGAAGACCCTCTAAATAGCATAAGCTTTTAAAATGGAACTTTTTCTCATTCCATGGAAAGTCATCTTTGGAGACAAATTTTATATGCGTTTCTGTGATTTAGAAGTTAAAAGGTCGAAGCCATTGGGGCTCAATCACATTATTACCTATAGTAAAACGGTTTACTTGATAATTTATTCATTCACTTAAGGATGTGTTCAAAGCATCATCCTATAAATTTTTTGGTTAATTATTTTTGTGATTTGACGGAAATTCCCAGAAATTTGCATTATAAGATGTGGGCCCATCAATGAGTAATAAGTTGTCCACTGAAATTTTACATTGTTGCAAGGCAAAAAAGTTTCCCTCTTGCTGACCTCTTCCAATATGACAGCAATACCAGAATGGCTCTCAGGACTAGTCTCTCCTCGCAATTTAATCCAATAGCATTTACCATTGAAATTTTTTAAGAAATTATGAGAGTTTAGATTTTTAATTTATTTCATATGCCAGGTACTCATCTTTTATGGAGGAAAGAGCAAAGAGCTTCTTGATCATCAATCTTGTGGGACTCAAAAAAATCAGAAACATTATGGAGACATGCATTTACCTTACAAACGCTGATTCACCTCAACACATGTTTAAATGCTCTATCATTAGAGTACTTAAGCAGGCCAGATTAGATCACAAATATTTATGTTTCTTTCTTTTCATCAGTGCCAAAGTACTACTGTGTAAATAGCGTGATCTTTTATTTGGCCTATTTATGCTAAATGGAACTATGTGCAAGTAGAAAGATACGGTGTGCTTGTGCAAGCTTCATAAGATACAATGTAAAAGTGGATATAGTTGCTTTTAAGAAAATGGAAAAGCAGGAGTTGACGTTGAATCAAAAGGAACTGAGCTCTAACTCGTGAGCCGTGGGCATGCAACAAGAGCCTTGTAGACAGGGCTCATGAGTTGAAGACTGACAACCTAGGCGTCGTCGCTGCCGTCGTTCGGCATCGAGTCCGATCGTCACCGCTGATGTCACGGCACTTTTAAATTCCCATTCATCCTTATGGCCCTCAACTAATGAGCACACCGCATCTTTCCATTCGCACATAGTTCCATTTAGCATAAATATGTGCATTAGTGAATGTAGTAGGAATATCCTTAAATTCTCTTTGACTTTCAAGACCATGAGAAATAGCCCTTTCTAATAATTCTCTTTTTTTTTATAAATTTATAACTCATTGGTTTTGCAATAGAATTGTTTAATAATTGCACAATCATACCATAATCTTAAGAAATAAACTCTCTCCTGTGCATCAAAATCATAATTATTTATCAAGATATTGAATAATGATTAACTTTTACCATTTTTTTTCTTCAGACGAACCCATTCTCAAAGGAGACAACACCAAGCAGCCAGGCAAATTCAGCAATTTATGCGGCAGTCTAAAAATAAGTAAGTCTTTATACTGTCTTGTAAGTTTCTTCGTGTCTAGTAGGTTGGACTAGGAATTTTGAACCAAAAAAGTAAGAATAATAAAAATAATGCCTTTTAATTAAAGACCATCAGTCACTGATGACTGATGATCAGTCACTCAAGCCAAAAAAGATTGGGTTTTAAAAGAATGCTTAGGACACAGAGTTTGTTATTATACTCATTGATTCAATCGGCAATTCTCTTTCACTAATCAGTTCAGCTGTTGTTTCGTCTCTTCATACATTAATAACATTGTCGCATACCGATCCTATCTTTTTGCATACGATAATTGTTAGGACAATTATGAGCTACACTCTTCATTCAGGGAAAAGTGGATATGTATATAATAAAACGACCCCCCTTAAACTTTGATTTAAATGGCAGAATTTTAAAGTAACTTATAAGTAACTTTTGGCCTTTAAAGTAAGGAGTCACAAAACACGGAACCATGTTCTCCTCACTTGTTCTAATCTCTTTGGCCAAAATATTTTCTAACTTTCGAACAAAAATTACTCAGAAACTGCGTCGATCATGTACACATACTTATAAGGATCTCAGTGTTGATAAAGTCATATTGAATGTATTGATAAGACTGCTCAGAGAAATGTTTTATATCTTACTTTAAAAGTAATTCCCAAAAATTTCGAAGCAAATGAGAGTTAATTTGAAGTTAGCAGTTTCAAAGATATGTAGTTTTGATTTTAAATTAAATCGCCTTATTTTAGGTTCAAAATCATACTCTATAATGTAAATTCATAAGAGTTACGTGTAACGCATTACGCTCTAGGCGCATAACACTTCATGGGGTTGGACCGTGAAGCAGTCAGAGCCCCCCTATTTTTATTTTAAAAAGTAACTTGACTCTATTAGGACGTGAAGGAACCAAACTGCTTGCGGTCGCTTTCTTGAGGTGCTAGGAAACATTTTTCAGTGAAATTGAACTAATTTGCGCTTATTGTCAAAAATTGCTCTTTTTAAGAGATTTACCTCCCAAGACAACATCAAACTGTGACAATTCTCAATTAAATCTAGTTCATCAAATCAGTATTATGTAACCACCAATTTTTTAATGAAAGAAAAAATTATTGGACTGAAGGATGAAACTAGAAAAACTTGTATCCTGATTGTATTATTTCATAAAATCTACTATTTCTTGATTTTGTCGAAAATAATATTACTAGACATTTTTATATGAAAATTTTAGAGAGTACTATCAAGGGAGCAAAGAAAAGTTACTCAAAATTTTGTCCAATAACAATGATTAGTCATCCTTCACAGAAATGAATTGCAACAGGAAATCTGCAAAGTCACAAACCATTGTATAATAAGGTTTGGTAGTTTTGCCACTGATACTTAAATTCTTGGCTGTTGTGATAATAGCCATAATATTATCAATTTCTTTCAACTTGATCTGATACTTTTGTAACTGGAATCATAAAGTTACAGGTTTGTAATCGACCCAATTTTACAGTTAGCGTGCCAGGTAGTCTTTGTAGTAGTTGCTTGCCTGTATCAATCTAACCACTAATGCTCTCTAAAATTACGAGTCTAAGAATTTTTGCCTAGAGTTTGCTTTTAATTTTATTGCAGCGGGACCATAATATCTGTGATTAGTCAGTATTTCAATTTTGTAAAGTAGGAGATAAGTGGTGAGCGTAACATTAACCTTGGAATATTCAGAGGGATTCTCTGGCTTTTAACTACAATTGCCTCCATCAAGGAAAAGACAAGCATTTAATCTTAGAAAAAAAGAAGAGAATTCCAAAGTTAGTACACCCTAAGATGCACAAATTATGCCAAAATTCATTTACAGATTTTGTGTGTTTTTGATAGTAAATCTATGCCATGAAAGTTTAGACTGTGCACTAAGCTCCACTCGTATCGCAACAGTGAATTTGCGCTCCATAAGCGCCTCACAGTTTGCTCTCAAATGTTGCTCAGATGTTTGAGCTAGTTTTGACACACATCCCGTATTAAAGTTCTCAGAACAATATGTAAATGTTATTGTATGTAAATTTTCTATTAATATTAAAAAAATGTCTCTTTAATTAATAAACGTTAGGGCGATGGACCACTAGACAGGGTTAGATCGAAACACTTCATTATACATATAAATATTTGTGGTTTTTCATCATAATTTCAATGAAATCCTGTTCAAAAAGTAATCATTGTTATATATTTTTTATATTTGACTCCATGAGTAGCAAATTCAGACTCTCTGCTCTTTAGGAAACCGAACTATTGAAAATCGACTTGAACCTTCAGAAATATGAAAAGTTTGGTCTTAGGAAAATTTGTTTTCNGCCGTAGTATCGTTTTTGAAGCGGGAAGCTTAAAAAAACGCAAATTTCTTACGCAGATTGTGAAGTTATGAGTGCATTTCAGACTTTGCCGATGCGCTCATCGTGATTTTTGAGGCATTATCTACAAGAAACAACTCTTATTTTTGCTCTAGCAAAAGTTTGCAACAGGCCCATTCCAAAGTTAGTACACCCTAAGATGCACAAATTATGCCAAAATTCATTTACAGATTTTGTGTGTTTTTGATAGTAAATCTATGCCATGAAAGTTTAGACTGTGCACTAAGCTCCACTCGTATCGCAACAGTGAATTTGCGCTCCATAAGCGCCTCACAGTTTGCTCTCAAATGTTGCTCAGATGTTTGAGCTAGTTTTGACACACATCCCGTTTTAAAGTTCTCAGAGCAATATGTAAATGTTATTGTATGTAAATTTTCTATTGATATTAAAAAAATGTCTCTTTAATTAATAAACGTTAGGGCGATGGACCACTAGACAGGGTGAGATCGAAACACTTCATTATACATATAAATATTTGTGGTTTTCATCATAATTTCAATGAAATCCTGTTCAAAAAGTAATCATTGTTATATATTTTTTATATTTGACTCCATGAGTAGCAAATTCAGACTCTCTGCTCTTGAGGAAACCAAACTATTGAAAATCGACTTGAACCCTCAGAAATATGAAAAGTTTGGTCTTAGGAAAATTTGTTTTCTCTTTTAATTCTTAGTTACTCTAAAGTTATCAAGAAAAGGCCAGCACAAGGAAAAAAATATCTCTCTGTAAGGCCCACCAAGTTTAATTCAGTACTTAATTTAACTTGAGTAGATTTAAAAGTTTTGACCATAGTAGGGAGTTTGAACTAACAAATATGAAAACTTTAATTTTTCTCATACAAGTAGGTTTTGGACTTTTTGTAAATTATTGCGCTCTTTATGAAATTTTAAAGAGAAAATACTAAGAATTAGAACACATTTTGACATCAAGCTTGGTTTCTAACTTTGTCTAGTGATTCATCAGATACTTAGATACCTACCGATTTTCTTTTGATGCACTCTTTTTATGTACATAATCAGTCAAAAGAGTGCTGCACTTTATATCTTCCTTTGATATTCAAAAACTGATACTGAATGACTAATTAGAAAACGAAATTTCCCATTCCTCTTGCATGGTCCAAAAAGGCTATTTTTTCTCTAATGGTATATGGTTTTCAACACAATACACTACCATGTTAATGTTCGAGGAAGCGCAGGTGCACTTACATGGAATTGAAAACCCATGATGCTCAGATATACGTCGAGAAATTCTAATCTAAAACTCCAATTAGCTGAAAAATGTGTGAATATAAGAGTGTGAACTATGAAATACATATATGAAACTTTCGTTTGAAAGCTATCGACAGTCATGGGATCATCTGATGAGTGTCAGGTCTTTGATTTTAGCTCGTAATTTTAAGGAAACCTTTAAACTCTTCGTTCTTTTAATCGGTGGCAACAGTTTTTGATCATCAGAAGTTAGGATTGGCTGCCCCGTAAATTTATTTTTCTCAATGACGTTTTTTTTTCTTTCTTACTTGCTTCGTTTTAGCGTTTGGGAAACCGGTGCTGAAACAGTGGTAAGTCAGTATTTTCTCCTGATTCTCGTTGTATTGGTCAGGGTCATTCGAGTGAGTAAATGAGTGATTAGCTTCTTTCTTGAAGTTCTCCGTGCACTTAGCCCTTACCTCTTCATTTCTGTCAATGAGCTGACTAAATATCCTAAATATTATACTGATTCCAATATATTGCAGACACATTTTTAAATTATTATGCTTGCATCAGGAGATACCTATCTAATTGAGGAAATTGTAGTTTGTATTAATATTGGGAGTTTTAGATTTGTTCAATATTTTCATTCAAAATTAATCACACATGAAACAGTTAAGCAATTTCCAAGATTAAAAACGGACAGAGAATCAAGTAGATGAGTTGCGAATGCGTTGTTTTGCGTTAAAAATATTTTGTAATGTCAATCATAAAATTTTGAAAATGAAAGACTGCAGGAGTGTGTAGGTATTTCTACAGATTGAGAGCTAAGAGCTTTCAAAGATAATCAATCGTGTAGTTCCCGAGAACAAACGCTGAAAATATTTTACCATGTAAGCTCTTAAAATATATTGATAACGGTGTGCAAACCATGTATCCTTCTCACTTTAATTAAATCTGAATGTTTATTTTTATTTTGATATAATTATTTAACATGTAAACATATCGTTGAATAATTTTTTAGCTTGTGGATAATGTGTAAATGTATACATGACGGTGGTATTCACAGTTATTCCATTGTTAATTTTCTGGGAAAAAATTGCGACAGTTAACAAGATAAAAAAAAAAAAAAACCCCACTTTTCATACCAAAAATGAAAAGCAGAAGACGAAAAAAAAATTCAGTTCAATGAATCATTTTTATTACTGGGAAATGTTTCTGAGGGTATTTCTCTGTAGTTTCTTTTTTCAGATTTAGGAATTTCTTCTTTATGATTTGATATAGTTTAAACTCTCTGTGGTTTACAAAATTTTCGTTGGAGTGGGAGAGATATTTAGGGGGAGAAAGTTATGAAGATTTTCTCTGCAATCTGAGTGGCAGTGCACTTGCTTCCTAATTTAACATTGATTGAATATCTTTTTTCTGAATTGGTTGAAATTTGAGGGTGTGAATTTTGTCTTTAACAATAAGTCCTGAATAAAGTATTCTCATCACAACTCCAATTCTCAGTTTAGTGGAATTTTATCATCATTTGTTTTGTTGAATACTTAGATTGCTTTTTTACACGTTTTTCATGTACCGCCTCCATCGATAATTTATTTTTATCTTTTTTAAACCGGTAAAGAAATTATTTTAGTTTGCCCTCTTATAATTTCTTGATAATTACTTCCAATTGTTGCTTTTTCATTCATGTTGCATCAAAAAATGAGATGGCGTCATTGAACAAAAGGCATCACCCACAAAAAGCTGCTTTTTTGCTTATTTATTCTCATGGTTTTTCACATCTGAAATATGCCCGTTTGACTGCTTTCTCTTCTTTTTTTATTGCGTTATATCGGATTTATTCTCCTTTGTCGTGTAATTAATTTATTTTTTTTTTATTTTTTTTTTGTATCATTTATGAATATGCTTTTCCATTCTTCTCTACCGGGATTTTCAGTCTGCCACTTTTTTGTCCCACCAGTTTTCAATTAAAACACAATCAGTGTCTTTTTACCCATCATTCCTGGTTAACTTGCACTCCTCAAGGGATGCATTCTTTATCACTTCTTTCAATCACCACTAATTTGCTTTTCACACTACAGGAAAGCAGCATGATTCGGTTGCTCCTTGATAATATTTCATGAGAGAGTAATCTGTGCATTAGGAGCCTCCTAAAAGTTTACTTTTCCCTTCGCCCATAAATTTACACAGGGGGAAAGAGGCATCAACCTTAAATTGAGCTTTTTAGGGAAAGAGCTCATACACACTCTTTTCGTAAAGTTAGTTTTTGGATCTCACATTGAGTTGTCAACAAATGTTGATGTTTTACAAGTGTTTTGAAAGCAAGGCCCACAGGTTCAAGAGGTCATCTGGCATTTTTCGCTTACGACTCCTCTTTGACAGATTGCTGAGTAACAATCAGAAAATTTTGAAAGTAGATTCAGTTCAGTGCCTTAACATGTGTCTTACTGAATGTTTTAGACTCCAAAAACGTATAGAGTGAAAAATTCGAGAGTTCTGGTTGCATTTTCACCGCCATTCCTCCAAGTGGGTTTCCACTCAATAATAATTAGGAGCTTTGGATATTGGACTTCGTTTCTATGCCTACCAATGTATTTTTTACCGCACTCAATATCACAAAAAATCGAAAAAACCAATGATTGCTTGTCCATTTCTGGAAGAAGGGTGCTTAACCAAAAATTTAAAAAATTCCTCCCACAACGCCCAACCATAAGTGAGTTTCAATGGCCAAATTTTATTCCGAGATGTGTCATGTTCCTCGTCCACAGCGGTCAGGAAACAAAAATGAAAACTTTGAATACTCTTTGCTCAAAACCAATTTTTAGTTAAGCGCCCTCTTTCTAGAAATCTCCTCAATGGGCCACTAGACAAGGCACAAACAAACTAAAACTTTCCGTTAATTATATGTCTTCTCAAAATTTCATGTAGGAAATGAATCACACAACAGGAAGTTTGGAAAAGCACTTTTGAAGAAGATATTATTAATTAGATTTAGCATTAGCCCAGTAGCTGAAATACAAATGACATCATTTGTATAATTTGCATTCTATTCAATCAGTGTTAAATGTTAGTGTCACTATCTTGCATAGTAGTTGATTTCTGAAATTTCCGCTGAAAATCTCTCCGCGTACAGTTTTGAAAAGGAAACATATAATGCAGTGCTTTAATTCACACCTATTCTAGTGGCCCATCATTTCTCTTTTAAGCAGCTTTGAGGTTGTTGGAAGTAAAATCCTCAAAATTCTACCTCAAGCTCATTGAAGCTCATCTCAGTTTCATTTCCTCCTTCCATTTTTTTCATTTTTTTTTCTTTGCTTGTCAGGTTACAGAAAGAGCGTGCCTCAGCCGGCGAAAGAGAGAGGCAAGTCGACCAATGTCTGGATGTCCGCCTAAACTTGCTCAGTTCTCAGTCCATCGATCCAAATAAATGAACACGTAAGTAAATGTGCAAGGTTGCCTCTATTTAATTCAATTTCATAGCTTGATGAATCCGAAAAACTTTAAATGAAATTTTTCAAATCATATACAAGTACATGATAGTAATTTTCTTTTTTACTCTTATAAAGCTTGGGTGTGCTTTTCTTCTGGTCCAGTCCATGTAACACTTGAATGGCTTACACTGATTGTGTATACACAACTGGCAACAAAATTTGGCTCAATGCCAAATCAATTTAATGTTTCATTTTTTACTTAGCCCAGACATCGTGGCAGTCATTTTTACTTAATTTTTCTTGTGAGTTTGAGCTTATTATTTCGATTTTATATAATTTATCAGTGGTGAAAGTGCAAAAATACATAATCAGTTGCTATGTTTCAAAATCTCTGCTCCTATTTTATTTTTCAAAATGAAACCAAACAGAAATCATGCCTTGAAATTTTCCCAGAATTCTTCACATAGAGAAGAAAAATAACTGGAGTTTTCAAGAAATGACGTCGAGTAGATTTCAATGTAGAAAATAAAAAATAACTGGAAGTTTGTATTGTGGCAAACCAAGATACGCATTTCTGCAGTTTCATCATCATTATGTTATTTATGCCTAAGTTTTGTTACTCTAAAATTTTTACCCTGTTTTTTTCGGTTCCATTGTTAAACTGCATTACTTTTATTCATGAATCAGGGCTTAAGTATTATTGGATTAGGTATTCAAGTAAATTTCTTTATTTATCGTTTTCGTAGTTGAGTAAAAATTATCTCAAAAATCATTATCAAAGCTAAAAATTTGGCTTTTATTTTTTTCCTTTATAGATCAGATGCGGAAGGACTTATTTTGGACATCTAAACAGAAAGATTTCTTCCATTTATTTGCCAACGAAAGAAATTTTAACTCTCGTTTCCTCACTTTAGAGTGAGTTTAATACTGCTCACCTTGGACAATCTCTGCAGTTTTGAACGGACCACAGTGAAAACAATCTATTCGACTGTGGGAAAGAGTATTTTTTTCCTTCAAATGAACTGTTAATCTCTAATCATAATGTTAACTTTTTGTAAGATAGTTGCACCAAAATCCAGCATTAAAAAAGTTCCCTCTTTTCCAGTGGTGAGGCGTGAATGATCGATGATTGATTATCAATATTTCCCCATTTGAAGCCATGGTAAAGAATCGATTATTTAGGTGTTCATTGCCAACACCCTATTTATTGATCCTTTTTCATTTCTTTAAATGGCAGATCAATCGATATATTGCAAAGCACGCCACACCACTGCTCTTTTCTAGTTTTGAAGATTATCGTCAAAATCAGCAATTTAAGTGCGTAATAGCATAAAGGAATTTATCTGAGCAAACGGTGAGGAGGTATTGGCTGTAGAAGGATGGAAGCTAAATTGTACGACTGTACCTATTTCTTCCTTGGATGTGGCGCATTCTGGGAAAATTGCCCCCATCTTCTAAGAGACCTTAAATTATTACTAATGCGTTGAAGAGTTAATACTTTGCACCCACACATCAAGATTGCTCCGCAATTTGAATATTGAACAACATTGTAGTGACTTCAAATTTCAGAATGGCTACCTGAAAGGCCAGTAATTAGGAAATACATCTTCACTCCATTCAGCGATGCTATGTTGAGCATATCATTTACACCTGCATCCTGTAACATATTAGATAGGAGTTAGCTTAAAAAGCTAAACAGGGATCATTTTGAACTACTCATATTTTATCTGGCAATTAGTTTGCTGTTTTTCTGAAAAGTGTGACTTACAGCTATTTTATTCAACTCAAGTGAGGTCTCCCTAGTAGTAAGGTCCATGAAGAGTAGGATTTTGCCACTTAGAGGACCATGGCATGAAGACGTGCAGTGGATACTTCATTTGGAAAGGGAAGATACTCAAAATGATATGAATTAAATTTCCTTTTCTTCCTTGAAATACGAGGCAATTTAGGCATGTCTTTCTAAAATATGGATATTATGGATCATAATAATTTCACAAGTGGTTTAAGATAAGCAAAAGATGATCAGGATCCATAGAAACAAGTTGAAAGTTATGGAAAGTCGTTTCTTTTTGGTTCATTATTGCAACTAATGTTGTTCGCTGGACCGCAAGGGCTCCAAAATTGAGCTCTACTGGCTAAATGCTCGCTTCATGGACTTGAATCAGGTCACTTCGCTTGGAGAACAGTCAGAAACCTCTCTGCTTTCCTTTTGCATCAGTGGCTGATTTAGGGGAGGAAAAAGATGATCTTCCCTAGTTCCTTCCTCCATTAAAATGCTGCACTTCCATTTTTTCTTGTTTTTTTTTTTTTTTTGGCTGTGTTAAAATATTTTCAAATGAAAGTACATATTATATTTTCAAAAAAGTTTTATCACACCATTATAAAATAGAATGTGAACCTTTAATATTTTCTTTCACATACTTTTAGGGTCAGAAGTTTGTTAAGAATTTTAATGGCTAAACTCAGAAGCCGCGTTACTCAGTGGTAGTTTTTCAAAAATTTTGTTCTCATTTAATTTTTTATAACCAAAAACCAGCCTCGATTAAAATTTTTGGAAATTTTCACAGAATATTCTTTAGAAAATAAAAATTATAAAAAATTCTAAGAAACCACACTCGTCAGTTTTTTTACTAAAAGAAATGTGGTATATCAAGAAGATTGCAACAATGCAAACCCAGAAACGCTGTATCTGAGTTAAGCCACAGATCTAATTTGCATTTTTAAAAAATAAATGATTACATATGCTTTTTTCACAGTTAGGTATTTGGCTTTTGCTTTAGTAAGTGAAACTTATATAGTTAACCAATCTGGGTCTTATAGTTCACAGAATTTTGAGGATAGTATGTGATCAAATATTTTGGATTTGCAGCAAACGCTGCTGTTTCTAGCTATATCTACTCACAGTTTGTCTTAATTTACTGACACTGTTTACTTTATTTTTTGCATCGTTCCTTCTCCATACTTTTTGACGCTTACTCAAAGAAGTTACCTTTTTCAATGGAAAGCTCATTGCAAAATCATGATTCTTTGCCCTACCTGATGTTTTCAAAATTTAGAAAATAGGTAAGACGCGATTCAATGCATTTGCATCCGATAGTTCAAGCTCCAGAAAATTTGGCAAGGAGAGCAACAGCAAGTAGATTGCAGAAAGTTCAAATATTTGAACTTCACTGTAGCCTCGGAACACGAGAAACTGTGCATAAAGATGAGAAGACTATTGATTTTTTTTTTTTTATTTCTGTGCGTACTTTATTTCAAAGTAAGCACTTTTTTTTATTATTCTCGCAACTCTCAGCAACTCACTAACCTATACCAAATGCAGATATCAAATTTTAAACACTAAGACATCTAACTGCCCTACTTTCCAGCAGAATTTCTTGGGGCCTGAAATTTTAGGTGGACATAATGCTTGATTGTAATTCTAGTTTCAGAAAATTTTAAAAAAAATATGAAAACTAAGGATTTTGCAATGAGCTCACTACGTTTTCACTTGTTTTTGTTGACTTTTATCTTATTACGCACCCAGTGTGATACAACTCTTGGAAAACAATTTTGTCCACCGACTATCCTAAGAAGCATTTTTTTTGTAAAATGCATGTGGTGCAACATTGATTTGTTTGAGCTAAAATTTGACTGATTCAATATTTTTGCAAATTTTTGTCAAATTATGTCTACTTTCAACTAAGAATTTGCAGAACAGAATAGAAGGCCTAAAATAGTCATAATCATGAATTAATATTGCTCATTCCTGGTTTAATAGACGCAAAGAATTGCTATTCTGTGGAGATTTCATTCTCCTGGTTCAAGAATGCTAACAGATATGATTCAAAAGGGTGGCTCCAATGAACACTGATTAAACATGGGAAACTGATCTTCAAGGGTTTTTTTGGTCTTATTCCTAAAATTTGATCCATTTGACCAAAAAAGACTCCGTGCGAAGTTTCAGTCAATTTCAGTCTCTGTTCCTCGAGCTCAAAATGTTTGTAAAAAACCGCATTTCGTAATTTCTACTGGTTTATCTGGATCAATTTGACTGAAATTTGGCACAGGGTCTTTTTTTATTGAATAAATCAAGTTCAGGAGGTAGGTAAACCGAAAAAAAATTTGACAATGCTCGAATTGGGCCACCTTAACTCCTCCTGCAGGCTAATTGTTGAAATTGGTAGACAAGACAATAGACAAAGAAGACAAAAAGGATGTGGAGGGATCCTATTGGTGTAAGAGGGTGGTTGCAATGGATCTAAGAGGTAGGTAATAGATTAACTAACGGCAACCCACAGGAGACCCTATAGTTAATTGGTCCATAATTTTCTCTCTCAGTCTATAAGAACCACTCATTTCAACCAATAGGATCACTCCAACTCCTCATGTCCTCTGTGTCTATAATTTGTCTATCAATTTTGACAATCAGCCAGCAGCATTAGACTACTGAGTGTATGACATGTGACTGTTCACAGGAAGAGGGTTTTTGGAATACGGAGTCCAAATTTTCGGGTGAATGATTTTTGTTACGTTGTATTGATAAAATTAGGATTATAGTAATTCAGTTACAATTTTTTTTAGTTCATTTTCTTAGTACTATTGAGAGTTGAGTTGCGCCGTAATCTGACATTTAAAAACTACAATCCTGGATGAATTGAAATTTCCCGAGTGTTTCTCATTCAAAACCACATTATCGGACTAAGTACAAATTCAGGCTGCTTTATCTCCGGTTTGGTTCAACTTTTTTGGGCATTTTTGGTGCCTAAATGTTTGTCAATGTTCCTATAATGTTAAACACTAGGTATTTCTTGTGTTAACACAGTGGTATCAATATTTCCTTTTTAAGTTGTCCAGTACTTTTCCTGTGTACACTGTACAGTCACATAAGTAGGGACAGTTTTCAAGACCATAGACAGAGGAAAACGAATTTGCCCCAACTCTGAAATCAATCTGTATTCTATCCATACTTTTAGAAGTCTTAACCACAATTAGTCTTAATTATTGGAAGTTTAATCTACCATAATTCTGTTTGCTTTTCCCTAAAAACTAATGTATTTCCCTCTCATCCTATTTGTAACTAACGATCCACCAAATACTGCCTGGCTGTGCTTTGTAAAGAAAATACATTAGGGAGTGGCCAGAGATTTATACCAATTGATACGAGGCTAATGTAAAGAGAACTAAAAACTGGGAATGTGCAAAATCATTACAACTGTCATACGTAAAACATTTTAGCATGTTTTTTCTAGAAAGTTCGGCAACATGAACAGTCCTATTGGGTTAAAATTTTAGTTCTTTTTGCATTAGCATGTGAAGTACTCCTGAAAATTGTAAATTCATCATATTGTAATTAGTGGCATCATCAGATGACAAGCAAGATGACAACAATATCTCAACTGGCTACCGCCACTCCTCCTGTATTTTTTCCATGACTGTCCTTACATTTCAGTTCTTGAAGTTTAAGTCGCCCAGGGTAGAATAGAGAGGCTTCAGCTCTCAGCCGTACTGTGCTACTTTTGGCAATTTTGAACAATGACTTTTAAATTGAAAATACAAAAATCTTTGGTGGTTCCCAAAATGGGAGATGAATTGTCAACATAATATTAAGTGAGGTTTGAAGACGGTTCAAGTATTGATTTAGTTGTGATCCAAACTCACTGTGTGATTTTTTCATTTTTCAGCAATTCATTCATTTCAATTTATTGAATGAATTGCTGAAAAATGAAATAATCCATTCATGATTCATTATAGTGGGTACTGAAAGTTCTCGTTCGAAATCTGTTGCATTCAAGAATTCATAAAGAACATCAGATCTATAATCATCAATTAGTAGGAGTCAAATCACATGGTAAAATTGTCCATCTCTTTTTCAAAACTTTGAATCTCCATCGTTGAAGTAAATGACAGGTTTTTATCTCAAAATTTTAATAGGCTGGCGCTCTGAGCAAGGGAATTTGTTTGTAGAAATTTAGAAACAGAAGTCTCATTGTTGGGTGTAAAGTCAATCGTGAAGGTGTTTAAAATAGACTGGACACATATTGTGTTTTTTAAGAAAAAAAGGAGGTATTTATGTTACAAATCTTTTATGGGAATTGTCTATCGGTTGAATTTGATGCATTGTGAACTTGTCTTATTTATTGTTACCTTCAATAAGTATTTGTAAGCACTTAGGGATTCTGTGTACTGTTCTCAAGATTTTAGTCACCGAATATATGTAAAAATCAAGTCACACATTGACTAAGTTTGGCGTTAATACAGCTCAATCAAAGAAGTTCTTGGTCTCGCTTTTAAGGAAGTCTAATTTCTACACAATGGATGACGTTTATCCTACACAACGGAAATTTTTCAGAGAAAATAGTTCTAACCTCGCCAATCCAAAGGCTCTCCTCCTTTTGTCACTAGCCTAATAGGTACTCACAGATGACAGTAGGACTCAAGTTTTGGCTCATTTTAATTACAATCCATGTGCCATTAGGTCCCCTTTGCAGATAGGTGTTCCTTTGAACAAGCCTAAAATAGTTCCTTTTTAGTAGTTGCAGTCTAACTTGCTAAGAATCATTCAACGAATTGTTTTGATTTTTCTGTCCATGCGTTTTTTTTTTCTAGTCACATTTACACAACGCAAGCAGTGCATAACCTGATTTTTGCCGATATTCAGGAGCAAATACCTTGAAAACAGCTTATGTAATCCTTAAGTGCCAGTTAAACTTAGGTTCAGGATGATTGAACATGTAAAATATTCAAGTTTTTCTAATTTGTCCAACAGGTGATTTTGATAAGAGGTCGCCAATCTCCTGCATATGATTTTGATCTTGTTTATGGAAATAGTTCTTAGGGTATCAAAAGCTCTAATAAGATGTTTGATAAACATACCTCGCTGGGAGGAGGTGTGTAGTGGCTTCTGCCATGGTTTGGTTGATCTGTTCGCTGCAGGTCTTCCACCAGGCGGAGATGCTTGTTATGAGACAAAATCCAAAGAAACGGAGTAAGCATCATCGGAGTATGCATATCATCGGTAACAGGGCAGATTTTTGTTATAAGTGACACCATAGTTTGTTCATGATTTATTCGACAGTGACTGCATAGTGTGGAAACGTATCAGGACTACTCTGAACTAGAGGTATTCTCTCTCCACTCTTTACTCTGAATTAAAAACCGAAGTCTCCTTTAGCAAGATCGTAACTGTTAAAAATTGAGTGAGTAACTTCTCCATCAACTAGGTCAAAATACTTCTAAGCATCAACTCCAAGAAATTTTCTCAGAGTATTTTAGACTTCGTTTTTACAACCTTTAGTAATTTTCATAGAGGTCATCACATAAGTAAATTTCCCTAATACTATTGCATTGTGTGATCTGTGTCGCATGGGTTTGATGACGGGTTTAGCAACTTAAATGAGTTCAACAAAAATAAAATTGGTAAGGGAAGCCTGAATTTATCTTTTTTGAGAATATCCAAGTTTACAAAATTTCAATTTTATCTCGTCCCAGCCGATGATTCTCCCTCTAGGGTAGACTTCGGCACTATCCGGGCAGATATGCAGCCGTGAGTTTGGTTTAGTTGGTCGGCTCGACCTCGGTCCCCGATCTCCCTAGCCAGCTCCTGATCAGAGCCTTTTCTAATTTCCAGAGCCAAAACCAACATATGATAGTTTAATCGACTAGATGACCATCTGGCCGAAACCCACCCCATGTTGGGGTGGTAGTGCGAAACAGATGGGAATCGAAATCCCCGACTTTGGTTTTACCACAGCCGGTGGAGCAAGTAGCTTAAATTGTCATATCTTCGAGAAGATTCGCCACTTTTTCTCCCGGTAGAACTACAAAAAAAAAAAAAAAAAAAAAATTTTATCTCATCAAGTTGTTACAACAGTAGCTATTTTCAGAGTTAGCAAATTCTCAACCGAAGTTTAAAGAGTCCCATTTTGCAAAGTTATATTGTGCCTAAAATCAAAGTAAAATTTCATGGAGCAACTAAGAGGTCAAATTTCAGAAACCAGGGCTGTAATTTTAAGATGCACCTTGGAGTTTCCTTGAGAATACCTTATGTGCATTGCCTTATACTAAGGCAATTTGAATAAAGAGACCTTGAGTCAAGGATGTTATAAGGCGCGTTTTTGAAGTCAGCCTTAAATTTTGTTGCAAAACTGAGAATATTATCTTCATATTAGTGTTGTCAAATTTATCTCAATACCCTAACAACTGAAAGAAATCACCCCCTTTTGTTCGGTCAGAAGTTCCAGGCTTGACTCTCCTACAGTGTCCAAGCTGCTACAAACTTTTAATGACAAAAAAATAGAAGAAGGTACATACATTAATTGCACAGTTTTTTTGCTGGCAGTAGGCTAACCTTATGTAAGGATAAGCGATTTTTTACCTCAGACATCAGCTGCTTGAGGCATAGCAAAAGAACATATTTCTGTCAAACGGAACTATGTGCATTAAGACGTGAGCCCTGAGACCCATAAGAATGTACGCATAACAGGGCTCACGCCGTAAAGCACATATGTAGTTCCTTTAGGCAGAAATACGTCCAAATATCCCCTTTATTCAATGCTCATCATGACTCTCCTCAAAATTTGAATGTGAGGTTGAAGTACCTAACAACCAATAAATTAGGAGAAAAATAGTTGGGAAACTTACTTATGGGAAGACTCTTCGATTAAAAATCAATTGAACATAACTGTAACTATGCTTATTATGATTGTAAAGAATGAAGGTTCCTATTCTACAAATGCAATCAAAGAATATTGAAAAGAAGATTAGAAAAGTTGTTAAATGATTAGTAAAAATGTGATATTATCTTCTCTATTTTTCAGTTATTTATTTATTTATGTTTCATTTATTTTCTCTTTCTTTATTTTTAGTTGTTAAACTTTTTGAGCCATTATGAAAGGTTTGACATCAAGTTATTTTGTAAATTTGCATTTATGTAATTGTGTTGTATTATAAAGGCAATTAAGGCGGCCAGAAGTAATAATTCAACTTAATTTCACTTAAACTTTTTCCACCATTGGGCGAGTGTTCTTCAACCATGTAAATATAAAAATTTTGATTATGTAAAGTGTAAAAATTAGGCTTATAAATTGCAAACTTTTAAAATGTACAAAGTTTTTTTAAGAGTTATTTAAAGTTATCATTCCACCTTGTATCTCTTTGAAATGCATGTAGATCTATCTTTTGATCATGCTTCAAAATATAGTTGCTTTTGAGTTTAAAGGTTCTTTTAGAGATTTTTTGTGCACAAGTGCTCAGGTTATGCACTTCACTTATGCACGTTCCCAAGCAAAATTTCTAAAGAGTCCTCAACTGATTTTGCTTTCGCTAAGAATACTGATGTGACAATCCACGAGAAAAACTACTCAAGTTTACAAAAACTCAATACTATGTATTTATACTGAAGCATAGAGAGCATTTCTACGTATAATTTGGAACAGGCAAATAAATGTTAAATCGAATCAGTGCTCTGGAGTTTCAGAATTTGTATTGAAAAAAACGTAGTTTTGAGAAACAGTAGTCAAAATTTTCAAACTCTTACATTCAGGAGTCATAATTATCAAAAATGTAATTTTGCATACAATCTTCACTGTCGCAAAAATGGACTCAAGTGCTTACATCTTGTTCTTCAGGACACAAAGGACCATTTTCCGTCAAAATCTTAAATCTGATTATTTTATGCTTCTCAACAAAAAATTCTCTACTAGAAATATTTCCTCCATGAAAGAAGATCCTTTTTCCCATGGACCATCATAAATAACAAAAAATATTTAATGTTCTTTGAAAGTAATGACACAACCCATGAGCAGAGTGGCTTGGAAGGAGAGATAGATGACACTTCATTTTGAACATTGTAATTGAGTCTCATGGAGTGACTTCAAACCTCTTTTTCTTGGTTCAAATTGAATATGACTTGGTTTCTTCTTGTTAAACTACGTGTATACGAAATATGAAAAAGAAAGAAGTAAGTTTCCACATTAATTTATTCACAAATTTTAGTTATGCATAATACATTATGATACAGGCCTGATGCGGATATAAATATTTGCAGGAATCAAAATGTTCCACATGACTGTGATTATTTTCAGCTGCAACATGATTCCTATAAACAGAGGTGTTGTCTGCCAAAAATTTTTAAAATTTAAATTCCTTGTATTTCTTCGTGGTCTGTTTGGTATCTTGAGCTTGAGGTACTTTCCGTTTTCTCTGTGAACATAAAATCAAATTTGGTCAAAATTGCGATGGGTTGTTCCTTACAAAAATAAAAACGTTTTAATAAAAAAATCCCTCGTGCAAAGAGTTATCATTGTTCTTCCAAGGAAGATAGAGTTTGCTAATCTAGAAGTACATTCTAGGATTAGTTCTCTTATAGGGTTGCCAGTAGTTTGGACAAGCGGAAAAATCAGGGAATTTGCGGTGACCGGGAAAAGTCGGGGAATTTGTGGTGACCGGGAAGAGTCGGGGAAAGTCAGGGAATTTGCGGTGACCGGGGAAAGTCAGGGAATTTCTGACACATCCACAAATCACTAGAGCATATCACTGATCTTCCAACTGTTTATTCTTTCTGGTCATTTTGTAGGGAGCAAATCCCGCCTTTATGGTCCCTACGTATCAGAAATGCACTCAGTCTTGTCGCGATACCGCAATGCGTGGCATAGACTGAGGTATTTCTGGTAGGGACAGAGAAAAAGGACTTTTCGGGAAGAGGCGGTGGCAGTGAGAGATGATCAAGGGAATAACACTGATTTTCCTTCCGATGAAATGAGCAGATCACCCTTGAGAGGCGGTAAAATCGGGACGAAGACGTAGGCGAAGCCACAGCTCCCTTTGGCCACGAATTCCCATACGCTCTGTCCAAACTTTCTCGACCCCGCGATGCGGCGGCCGCCAATCGCGAATCTTCGCTAGTACGCGCATGCGCTGTTCGTGGTGTGTATAAGCGAAAAAAGACGGAGAGAGGCGTTGTCGAATATCCTCCTAAAATCGAAAGATTTTATGGCGGATATTCGGAATCAAATACTTCTCTGACAATTTTTAAGGCTTCTCAATTATCGTTTTTTAACCGGTGTCGACTTTTCTTGATTTTCGATGGGAGAACACATGTCAAAATTAGTGTCAAATCCTACGTGGTTAGAGGCATAGAATCGGTTGTGCATGGTCCAAGGCTTTCTGCAGCTTCCTAAGCTGAGCGACCGGTGTTTTTGACAGTTTTTGATGATTCACCGGCATACAGCTATTTACAGCTTGCACGCTACAGCGGACTCTTGAAGCTTTCTAGACCAGAAAATTGAACTCCTCCAGTTATTTTACATGGGACTAGCTAGGTTTCATCTTAATCAGAGAACTTCAATTTTGAATTTAAAACAGTCTACGTCCGGGCAAGTCAGGGAATTAGAAAATGTTTTAGTTGGAGAAAAGCAAAAAAGTTGGGAAAAAGTCAAGAAGAGTAAGGGACTTTGAAGATGAAGAAATTGTGGCAACCCTGCACTTGGATTGCATTTTGCAAAAAGGAACCAAGAGCATTCTAGTGTTGCTAAGATTGTGCAACTTAAGTACATTCTTTGAAATAAAATCACTGGTATCATGTAAAGATTGTCTTTATAAAGGTAATTTTCGTCTTGAATTTATAGTTTGTTGGGAATTAAGATAAAAGTTGTTTAGATGATCAGTTTATATTTGCAGAGTAAAAAAGTTGCACAATGTTAGCACCATTGGAATGCTCTTCATTCATTTTTGCAAAATGCAATCAACTTGATAATGTCTGTGAGATTTTGACACAGAAAAAAAATAAGTAAATGCCAAACATATTGACCAGATAAAGCGTTTTCAGTAACAAGGCGTATTGTTCCTTATTTTTATTCCTTCAATTTCTCAGCATACTTACAGGTTAGATATTGAAACTTTGGGCATTGATGGTTAAAAGTGAATAGTAAAATACCTTTAATCCTCGTTTTCCACTTTCAGAAAATAGGCACAAATTCCAGAGGTGCAACATTTTAAATATTGAGATGCATCAGTCTTAAAACAGAGTTTTTGCCATGCATCCTACTATTAAAAAGTCACTCAACTGAAGTTTCATTAGGAGAGTAAGCTTACCTTTGATCTGCTGACATGATCGGCTAACATGTCTGACAGATCTTCCTTCTGCAGCTGTGACTGCTGCTCCTTCATTTGTTGTTCGTAGCGAACAGCCATTGCGTCTGTATCAACGAGATCAAGTTCAGAGGGATCCAGTGCCAATTCTACAGCCCCTGTGTTGGGTATTGAACTTGGAAGAGATGGGATTTCGTAAGTGTGTGTTGATGCCATCATGGCTCCTCCAACCCTGTCCATCTTCTTCTCTGCAAGTACCTGATACAAAGCTGGTGTCTCTCCACTGGAAATTAAAATTTAGTCAACCAGGTATTACAAACCTTCAAAGAAGTCTGTTTATTAAGACTTACATTCATGAAGCAGAGAAGGTGCCACATTAAAATAAAAGTTGCTTTACAAGGAAAAACTTTACAGCGTCCTTGAGTCTTTCACTGAAACTACTTTCCCTATGGTTCCTCGTAAAGTTCATTACCTTACTGATAAGAATAGTAAATTTAAATCTTGAAGTAGGCCTTGTTTTAAGAAAAAAAAAGTTTCAGAAAAAAATGATAATCACGATGAAAAGTTGGAAATTGAAATCCTATGCTATTTAAGTTGTAAAATATTGACGATGAAACTCGAATATAAGAGGCGGGTGAAGTATACGACCCTACATTTTACTGGAAAGAGAGGAGGGGGAGAATTATGAGATATTTATACAATATAATATTCTTGAGAGTGCAAAGAAAAATCACACAAAATTTGTACAATAATGATGATCAACAAAATAATGTATGAATAGAAATCTTCTAGGTTGCAAATCGAAAATTCGGTTTTGTGATTTCACCATCAACTTATAACAATAATGGACCACTAGACAAGGTACAAACTTAAGCAATCTGATACATGTTCCTTTACTAGAATTTCACGTTAAACACGATTCGCACAACGAAAATTACTGAAACCAACTCCTAACGAAGATATTAAAATTTCCATTTCATATTTGTTACGAGGAATTTGAACTGCCCGCTGACAAACTCAAAGCTCTACGTGAGTCAAATTGTGCCCTACAATAACGGTTTCAGCATGCTTCTCAATCGAGCAATGTTCATTTCCCACCATGTGTTGTTCAAACTATTAGCAATTTGCTATAGCTGAGCCAAAGCTTCAAGATTGAGGTTGTCAGATTTTTATATCGCAGAGACTGTCATGATAATGTTTAGCGCGCGATGTGAATCTTGCAGACCATAGAGTTTTCATGAGCGGGAGGTTTGAATTCACGCATCAGGAATCATAATATATCTTCGTTAGGAGTTAATTTCGGTAATTTTTGTTGTGCGCATCGTGTTCTACGTGAAATTTTGGTTACGAAACGTGTATCAGAATGCTAAAATTAGTACCTTGTCTAGTGGTCCATTGATTACAAATACAACTTAGAGGAACGATGACAAACCACAGTTTCATTTTACCAAAGTCAAGAACATTTCCTAATACCTCAAAGGGAAATTGATTTCCAAAATTCGTTGTTAAAAGTTTTGTTTCTTAAAGACAAGCAACATGAAAGATAAAGTTTTATTCATGTAATGTGTGTTTGCAACTATTACAAACCTTCAAATGAGTCTGAATTTGATGAATTTCATGTTTCAGTGGAAGCTACTGAGAGAACTGAATACAAGGATACCCTTGGTTCATGAATTGAACATTCATTGGAGAAAATATGATAAATTCATCTAATCTGCTAAAATACGTGTGCTTAAATGGGAAATGCCGCCAGATGACGTCACTAGGCGGTGCATTTTCTCACTTTTAAATATATTTTGATACTATTTCCCATATCAGAAAAAAATTATAAAAAATACTTTGAAATCTGCTCTTCATGCACTTTCAGACGAAGCAATAAAAAATTTGCATGCAAATTCGCGACGGAATATTTTGAAAAAAGAAATACTAACCCTTCCATTTCACTCTCTATTTTGCGTTTCCTCAATTCGATGATTTCTGGAGTTTCAAGACCAGCAGGTATTGATGTGATGCCAGATGGTGTAATTAGACCTTCTGCAGGGGTCACAAGTCCTGAATCATCCGCCTGTTTCTCCTCCTCCTCTTCTTCTTCCTCTTCACTTTCTTCCTCAGATTCCGATTCTAGTTCACCCCACGCTGTTTGATCTATATCCTCGTCACCCTCTGCTTTCTGCAAGAGATGACACATAATTAAAGGGAAATGCTCAGCTTTGTAGTCAATGGGTCAGTTGCGCTGGTCACAGAATTGTGTTTTGCCGCTTTAGTCTTGTAGATTAGCTAAAAATATTAAAATCCGTCCAAACCGCAACTTTCTCTGTTCAATATGAAGAACCGAGATATTGCCCTTAGAAAGGTTGGGTTTTTGACGTCATCCACAGCGGTAGTGACACCCTTGGTTTCTTCCACCTTGGTTTCATCAGTCACGAAGACACAAATTAGCACTGGTTACTCTACAAGAAACGCGGGCGAAAGCAAGGTGGAGGAAACCTTCAGAGGAGCCTGATTTCGGTAGGGAATAATTAATATTTATTTTTCCATTTTATACTGCATACGTTTTAACTGCAGTTCGCCTACGTTAAATCTTTTTTTACTTGTTGAGGGAACATACGTAAGAACTTGATGTAATAGTAACTAGTTCAAAATATTGCAGGAAGTTTTCTGATTCTGTGTCAATGCATAGTTGCAAATTCTTCAATATAAATACATATGCTGAGGAAAATTAATATGCACTGAAAACAAGCCATATCCTGAGAAAAAGCAATGCAGGAATGCCCTGCAACCTCACTAGAAAACAAATTGTTTTTATCATTTCTTGTGCCGCCTCCAAAAGCGGAAAAGTTATTGTTCAAATTTCGCTCACTATCTACAAAAGTTCTAGCAGGTCAACACAGGACACAAAAACAGTATGCTAGCAAATTTGATAAGAACTGTTAAAGAATTTACTAGCTTTTCTCTGATCTACAATTATAAGAAATCAAAGTAAAAAAATATGTATCTATTTACATTCTCAGTGCTATTCAAAGATGGATTACAAAACAGCCCTCTGGGTGCAAAATTTTCAAGAGAAAAAAGATTGCTCTGGATTTTGAATTTACTCACCTCGTCATTGGAATTTTGAACACCGAAAACATCTCCATAAAGTGGTTTACCATTCTCATCAACCGGAGGTTTCCCCCAACCACCAGCATGGTAACCAAAGGAGCAACCTTCTGGGATGGGTGCATTCAACCCAGGGATTTTCAAATTTGGATATGAAGGAGGAGGACCGTAACGCTGCATTGCAATTAGCCAAGGCGGAGGCACCTATAAATAAAAAGACAGAAAGGGAATGAATCTGTAGGACGTACTGCCAAGTTTTCATGATGAGGATTTTTGAAGATTGTGCTTTTCTCTTTTTTTCTTTCTTTCTTAAACAGGGTGATCCGAAATTTCCGCACCACAAGCATCAAGTATCACTTGTGTAACTTTTGAACAAATTGATGTAGACTCAAAATTTTGAGAGTGCTCCTAGGTTAAAAACTAGGTTCCTAGGAATTTTGAAACCTCCAAAATTTTAATGGGATCGATCTAAAATGGGGCAATAACCATAGAGGTTATGGCGGTGGTGTGGAACTTTCGGACTATACTGTAGTCCCCCCCCCCACCCCAAGAAAAATGTCTTCGACCGGTACATTTGAAGCACTTGTCTATTATTTCAGTATCTGAAAAAATGCACACAAGAGTAACAAAATTAGCATACTAAAAAAAAACTGTCCAACTAAGGTGACCCATGATGATACTTTCTGCTCCTCTGACCCCATGATGCAGAAAGCTCAAGGATAATAATATTAGACACGTTTCAATGCCAAGAAGAAGGAGAACTGGTGCGTCAAAGTGGGACCCTGTTATCATTTGTCACCTTTAACGAATCAATGACACGCTCGCATCACAGTCTTAGTGCGTTTTGTTCTTTGATGTAATTTTGATTAGTTTGGCAACCTAGGTTAAACAAAAAAAAGAAAATTCTTTCAATCTGTCCAATAAAAGAACCTAACCGGCCTCAAAGAAATAGGAAAATGGTAATGAATTATAAATAAACTGTTCCTCGGGCAAATTTATCAGATCAAGAGCTTGAAAATACCTTATGTGCACTAGGACCGATAGGCATGCCAAGAGCAGTGCGAAGTTCGTCCGAGAGATCACCAGGTTTTTTCTCTCTTAATCTAGTTTCGTATTCCTTGCCCTCATAGTACAAATCGCCATGAATTGTTAAACGTGGTTTGGTTTGCCATCTGAAAAAAAAGAATGAAGTTGATCAGAAAAGGGAAGCAAAATTGGAGGTAGGATTACGGTAAGGATCATAGAGACCACCAAATACTTCAGTCAGGGTGCAATAAGTTCAATCACAGAGGCAACTTATCGGATCCTGCATGTTTTGTTACTTTTTTCTCCGGCATCCGTTAAAAATGTGATAAAAGATCATCCTACTTTCTACTACTTTTATTTTCACTCAAAAGAATAACTTCACAGCACTTGCAACTCACTTGTGACATTTTGAAGTGAGGATGTGTTATAAAATACTTAAATTTATATTAATATTAATAAATACTTCGTCTGACGTCACTAAGTGCAGACTTTTATCTTCACCACAAACTGTTAGTGCACTAAGGTCTTAATTGTGTAGAAAGTCACTTTGATGGTGAAAGTGTAGAAATGCATATCTCCGTTTGCAGCTTTGCAGACTTCTTGTCATAATTAATTTTTTACATATAAACAACTAAGCTTCATCTCTCAAAAACTCCGTTGATGTACCTTATCTTTTTGAAGAATATTCTGTGAAAATTTCAAGCAATAGTGTTGGTTTGGTCTGAGTGGAGATTTTGAAACACCTCAACCAAGATACGCATTTTTGCTGTTCCAGCGTCGAATATTGCATCCTATAAAAGCAAAAAATTTTTTGGGATGTCATTTGATCCATCCTTCAAAACTTCTTCTGAATGTTCTGGATGTTTCAATACAAAATGACTTACTTGAAAAATGCATCGTGTAGTTTCTGATAGTCGATGTCTATTTTGCCCATTTTTGGCCTAGCTCGTTCCCTCATTTTTGCTTTTAGAGTTTTTTGATCATCCTTCTCTTGAAGAGATTCTCTCATCTCCATGATACCTGTCTTCTTGATGAAATCTGGCAAATCAAACGGTGGTTTCTCAATACCTCGTTTGCCTTGCAAATACTGAAAGCAAAAAAATAAGTAATAAAACAATTTCACATAAAAAAGGAAACGATGGCACATACATAAGGTTGCTTATGACCGCAACAGTGGCTTGAATATGAAACGGCCGGATTGAGATTCGAAGTTGGACTTAGTTGTGTCTATGTAAGCTGAAAGCTTTATATTTGACATTTGACTTCCCTTTTCAAAGGTAAGCAGTGTGGGTATTTAGCCGTGTTTTAAAATGTTATCTCATGCTGCCTTGCCCATTTATTTAGAGTCATGCTGTCCTGAGCTACACCTATGGAAGCTGAATAGAAAGAGTTGCAACTCTGGGTAAGATTCATTTAATGCTAATTTCAACGCTTATTTTGCTGGGGCTTCCCCTGTACGGATCTTACATTCAAAAGAAGATATCCATTAATTGAAAACTTCAGGCATGTGCAAAAATCTCACTGGGATGGAAAAATTTTACTGATAAACTACACAAACTGATACACTAGCTATAAGATAGTAACCGCTAGCAATGACCACTATGTATTTTCATTATTCCATGTACGTTTTCCTATAAATAAGACAGGGGCAAAATTATCCTGCCGATGACAATAAGTCGAATGGTATGAAATTTGGCTAACCTTTCTTTTAAAACACCAGTGTCGAGGCACAGGTACAGTGTTCCGGTGTCCTTTCAGAAGAACAAGCAATTTTGGATCTCTTGCGGTCACATCGTGCATTTCTACAACATCTGGTCGACTGACAAGTTGTTTTAGTTCTGCAACGCTCAATCGTGTTAGCTTCTTCATCTTCCGTTTTGAAATTTTCTCTTTTTTGTCATCTCCTTTGCCCTTTACATACAAAAAAGGGGGAAAAAATTATATAAAATTATTCGTGTGTGCAGGGGTGATTTTCATAATTTGAGGCGCAAAAACTGAAGATCTAAAAAAACATTTGAGGTGTTGTCAACTGTGTTTTAAAATCTGATACCTAGGATGATTTAATAGCATTGAGTCCTGATTTTTTTTTAAAAAAAAAACCTTTTTATTACTAAGGTAATCCAGGCACTCAACATCTTTTTACACCACAATATCTAATTTCAGAACTGCTCAATAATTTTAGCTGTAATTTTAGAGTCTTCCTTGAAATCAGTCAAGGCAGACTTGAAGGTTTTACCTTGAAAAAAGTTACACTTTCAAATATTATACTTCATGGTTAGATTTACTGTTGCTTTTTTTTACAACATTCGCTATGGCGCTTGGGAATTCTTGTTGATAATTTAGTGTAATTTAAACTTTTCGGAAGAAACAACAGAAATTTGGGCAATTGACTCTTGAATGAAAAATCAACAGGTATTTTAAAGCAGATCAAATGGAAGTTATCTATATTATATAAATACAAACGATGTCATCTACATTTCTGCCACTTGACCAATTTAAACTGTTAACACTTGCAATACTTGCATCTTGTTAAGACATTGATTTCAAGGCTTCCTGTTGTTACACAATGATGTGATGTGATGATACACATGTTTTTTCTCGTAAGATTTTAAAGAGAAAACGCGTTTTGTAGTGTAGTACCTCATACCCTGTCTAGATAACTGTTATAGCCTATTGGAAGCTGAGAATAATTTTTCAACATCCATCCCAACTAACACTCTCTGACCTCTTATCATAAACTCCTCAAAATTAAGGCCCCTTGGTGAGGATACTGGCACAGAAGACGGATAATGTAGCACTTACATGTTCATCCTCATCATCAAACTCATCCGGCAATTTAGGCACTTTCTTTAAGTTCAATTCTTTTTTGGGAAACTCTGCGGCATTAGCTTGTTGTTTTTCTTCCTGCGGTTGTGGTTCTGGGCTTTTTTCTGGCTCAGAGATACGAAATAACTCGAAAATTCTCGAGAAATGATGGTACAATGGTTGGTCATAGGGTGTGTCCGGTACATATCTAAAAATAAAATTAAAAATTTGTTGGTGAAAAATTTAATTGAGTTAATAGAATGTCTCAGCATACAAAGCATTCATCATCTTTTCCATTGTCTGCACAGATAAAAGTGGTTTAAAGAGTTGAGATTTTCTGTCGTGTGATATGTTTTCCTCATAAAATTTTATAGAGAAAACATGTGTCAAAGCAATACTGTGTTACCACTGAAAAACTTGTATGGATTGCACCAGGGCAATGACAGCTTAATATTTGAGATTCTAGCTGGTGTGAAGCACCATAATCCTCACGCACTGCAGGCGGTATTTATACAAAAACCTGGAGTGTGACAAAAAGATCTGTGGCACATTGCACAGTGTTCACTTAAATTCTAACTTAGCTCTTGTCTTGATACTGAGGGTACAGGAGCTCGTTCAAAATATTTACATTCAATGCTTATGTGCATTGTCGAAGTAAACTTGTCCGATTCCACTTGGTTTTTCTGTTTGCAAACGCAACCCAACAGGTCTATTAATCTCCTGAGATCATTGAGCGCTTAGTGAAAATGTAGGCTTTCATATGTACACACACAAGCCATCAGGTAAATCTAACGGAGTCCAACACTGACCATACGGAATCAGGATATTCCGTTTCCAAATGGTCCCAAACAGTTTACTTCAACAACGAAGCTCTTTTAAAGTCCATGCACCCCAACTCCCACTTCAAGTATAAGTGTCAGTGTTACCGTTCTGCGTAATTGAGGACTTCTTTAGCGTAATTGGAGGTTGCTGCGTAATTTGAAGAAATCTGCGTAATTCGTGCATAATGGAAGTTTTGTAAAAATTTCCGTTTATTATCGCGGTTTATAGGTTAGGTACATCTTGCCGATCTTGGTAAACCAGTGGTAAACGGTCGTGGTGAAGATAGTTCTTTACCTAGAAGCAATGCTGCAAACTTTGCTACTAAATTCCCACCTTACATAGGAAACAAAAATTTTTCAGAATTTCAAAATAAGCGTAAGATTGTTCACAATTTGACTTGAGCTGTGTAATTGCTGCGTAATTTGAAAATTTTTGTGTAATTTTTGCGTAATTTGACAATTTTTCCTACGTAAAGGCATGCGTAATAGGGAAATTTTTCTGCGTAATGTTGCGTAATTTGCTGTCGGGATTGCGTGCGCAGAACGGTAACACTGATTAGTGTGGTAGCTACTCTGCTGGCGTACTTAATGCACCAAAGGTTTAGACTTCTGTAAAGTAGGAGAAAATTTTGAGGATAGGATAGCAGAGTGTAAATAATTGCAAGATGAACATGCTCAGGCCTCTAGAGATACATACATGACTTCTTCTGGCGGATTTTCGGGTTCTTTTGCGGACTGCTGGGTATCTGCTTGCTTCGCCTGCGCAGCTGCTGCTTCCTCCTCCCTTCTCCTCCTGGCGCGCTCCTTCTTTTTCTTCTTTTTATTCCTGAGGGTGTTCCCTTGACCTTCTATCACAGCCATTTCAAACTTTAAAAAAATTACAATTAATCAGAATAAATATTTTACTTATGTAGTGTTGGGGTTCAGTCTTGACTATAGGTACTCTAGTCTTGGCAGCACACTGAGTCCAGTAATTTTATAAACGGAACGGAGGGAAAATCAAATTTAGTTAAAACAAGTACCTTCAGACTATCATCACTTTGGACATGAAAATTATTTATCTCGGATAAAAAAGGGCAAAAACACGTAAAAGTATTACAGGAAGGAAGCCGATAATGCGAAGCCACAATACCTATCAAGATTCATGAGATTCATTGATGAACGAACGAGTGGATCATTTGTTTTAAGGTTAGTTTACCACCTCGACAACTTTTTTGGAGCAGTTAGTAAAATTAAGTAAGTTGTCTATTTCATTCAATATTTCAATTTTTGTTTTGCTTTATTTATATACATAGCTGCCACGGAAGCCAGCCTGTTCCAAAAACATCTCACAGCAAACTAAGGTTACCTTGTTATTATTATTATTTATTATTGGCAAAATTTCGAGTAGACCATTTGGTTGAAGTGAAGAATTATCCCTTAAATTTATTCCTATAGCATAAGTGATAGTGCTGTTATGGCTCATTTTATGAGCCTCAGGTAGTTTTTAAAATATGTGTCCGTCAATCTACGAAGGTTAACCATGAATGAAGTTCCCTGCATCACTTTCCTAGCTGTGTACATCCTTTCCATCAATATCATTCAGACTAATTCAAGGTCCTCAACCCTCTGGAAATTAAGCGTTGAGGATGAAAAAATTATTGAGGCTAGCTGTGCATCAAATGCAGCCTCCTCGCGCAACTCGCTTCCCTTTGATGACCCCATCTTCAACATAATAACCTCAACTGTGCATCAGGGACAATCGTGGACGAAGAGTGGTGATAATGACTGCCCACTTTGTAACCCCAGCAACTCTTCCTCAAAAGTTCGGTAGGTTATGCTTGTGTATATCATGTAATCCCCTTTTAATAAGCATGCCCTCATGAGGCGCATTTGTTTCTTACGCTGTCGTCTAGTATCTCAAGAACTGAAAGGAACTTTCTGATCTTTCACAGCGTAAGACCGAAATCCATCGATGAATTTCTCTATCAGTTATATTTTAGGATCAGAGTGGGCTAACTCATAGACATCAGTTGCTGAAATTTCGCTCATTGAAAGAGAGAAAAATTCTATCTGAACTGCAAGAATTTCTGAGCTGAGGATTTCTATGTTCAACGAAAGGAACCGAGGCTTGTTCCTGTTTCAGGATGCTATCATTGATAGATAGCACTGTCTGCCATCGAACCTCCTGTAACTCTCAAGAAAAGTGGTTCTCTTTACAACAAGAAATGTGAACAAGACAAGTTTTCCTGGTGCTATCTTGTCTCTGTCATTTTAATGATATTGAAGTCAGCAATCCATGAACGTTTAAACCATTTTTAATTTAAATTTGTTCCCCCGGTTTTGCCCAGAATTATAGCTACTTACCTAGTAGGTTAATTGTTGAGACTTATGTCAGCATGACAAGTTATCAAAAATTGACCAATCGTGTGATACAGATAGTGCTTTGGCTTCAATTGGCAAATCAGCCGACAGGTCTGGAAGAAATTCCTGCTTTTGGGATCCACAGAATGCGTCAAAAAAGAGGCAAAGATTGGGCTGGAAGACAAAATATCCCAAGGTGGTATGAGGAATCACGCCAGGTAGCTTCATTAGGATTCAGCTATTCAAGCTGTAGAATTTTTTCTATTGTTTTTGTAAATGAATATTGATAGCTCATGCATGAATTTGCATTCTCTTTTCAGGTCACAGACTTCCAGGAGTGCAACTAATCCTAGCGAAAAGAAAAGACCGAAAGACATCACCCCTGATCTAAGTAGTGAAACACTAGACTGTGGCCGACCAGCCAACTTTACCTTTTATGATAACCTTGTTGGTGTTGCCAACCGTATGAATCATCCTAATGTCCCTGAGCCACAGGTGATGTTAATATTCAAGAAGAAAGTAAGTGAAATTGACATATCTTCCCTAGAACGGAAGCTGAAAAAGGCAAAACGTGAGAAACCGAAGTCTGTCCAGTTGTACAACCAAATTGGAAATTTTTGGAGGGTGAGGGGTGACACCTTGAAGTCCATCGAATGTTTCCGCAGAGCGCTAGCAGTTTCACCACATAATGCGGAGGTAACTTTCATTTCATTGAATATATTTCCAATGTTATATCACTCCATGATCATAAATTGCATGCATGAAGGGCCGATTTGGAAAATAGAAGCATCATCAAAAGCACTGCCCAAAGAATCTTTGTACTGTAAAGCTCCTAATCAAGTATTGGTATAAGGTTAAGATCAAAGTGACTCTGGAAATATTGAAAAATGTCAAATTAGCCAGTATTAATTGCATGCAAAACTTTTCTAACTTCTCCCATTACATTGGTTGTTGAACCTCATATTTGAGTTTTCGAGGTCTGAAGTATCAAAGGAAGTATCTGAAGTAAACGAATATATTCAAAGTAAACAAAATAAAAAATGAACAAGTATTTGACCCCAGAGCCTGATCAGGGATGGAGCCTGATATATTGTGCTTCATGCAATTTTATTACAATTCCAAAAATTATAAAGAATGTATTTTTTCTCTTAAAGTTTACTTTCCTAAAAGATCTGTAATCTTACAATATAAGATCACAGATCTCTCACACGAGTGTCATTCTAACTCTCTTTGAAAAATACTAACACACAAGAAATTTTAATCAAAACCTCCCTCTTCCATGTACCTTAAAAAAATTCGAAACTGAGGTAAAAATGTTGAATGAAAGGCTTAGAACTTGCCTTTGGATCAATTTCAATCCTAAACCCAACCTGTGTCAAATTTTATGAAGTTACATAATTATTGCCAATTGTCCCACAAATAATTGAGATTTTTAGAAGGCTTTAGAAAGCAGAGATTTAAATATTGATCCATAGTGTTATCTCTAGTTTTTTCAATGAGCTTCACGGAGATAATGTCAAAAAAGTGCTAAGAAAAGCCCGAATGCGTTCTTGACACCTAAAATTGGTGAAGTTTATCTGGGGGAGGAGGAGGTGAAATTCTAAGAATCGTAAAAATTCTCCATCCTAGTTTGCTGTACCCATTCATGTCCATTACATTTGCATTTTATTTGTTTCTCTTCACTTTACTTCACAGGTTTTGCTAAATTTAGCGCGAGTACTTTTTAATCTTCAATATTTAGACGATGCAATCTACTTAACTCGCCGCTCGCTTGAAGTTCAGCCTCCTGACAAAAATGCCTGGCAACAATATTTTACTTTGGGTGAAATTTTTAAGGTACTCAACAAAATAGTAAATTAGATATGATATCTTAAACAGAAAGATTTACTGCTTAAAATGAAGTATTTAAAGCAATCCATTGTTTTTTCTTCCTTTGCTAAAGAATGTAACTTCTGGGAAGTTCAAAGCTCAAGGACAACTTTACCTAGTTCTTGCACTCTTAGTTTTAAGTTACTTACCAGTGACATAAATGAAAAAACTGGTAATGATACATTTTAGTGGAATTTCTTACGTCCAATGGATTTTTACTCCGGGCAGGTTTGCTGTTTGAAAAATGTCAAAACTTTTGAGATGACCCTTGTATCATACAGAAACAATTGGATTTTTGAGAATTTAAAGGTTGCAGCTCCAAAGACGTTTCTGTGAGGGAAATGCATTCATAGTTTTAAAAGTATCTTGCAAAGTTCAGCACTGTCACAGGAAAGAGCATTTGCTGAGCGGCTTAGAAATGAATTGAATTTCTTGCAACTTATTCTGTGGGATGCTAAAAAGCATTTTGTAAGAAAAACTCATGCAAATTGCTCTCCTAAAAAAATTACCTCTAGAACGCAAGGTCTTTTTTTCTGTAGATAGTTCAAATAAATAATAGTAAGCCCATTATATGTATTTGCCGTATAACATTGCCCTGAAATTTTAAAATTTATAGTAATATCCGAAAGTTCTTTCCATACAAGCAAGAGCTGTATCCTTGTGTGTAAATTCGACAGAGCATAAACTAAACGTACAAAAGGGGAACAATTGCACTTATTAGTCTAGAACAATGTCAACTGATAGCCTTAACTAATGTCGATTCTTATTCTAGGCGTATGGTCATTATCAAGAAGCTGCGCTGCATTTACGGCATTGCCTGGAATTGAAACCAGAGTTTGAGCCTGCTGCTCTTGCATTACTTGAGATGCAGAATATCCCGGACACAACCATTCATGTCTACACCCTGCTTATCATCGTGTGTCTTGTGAGTATTTTTATTCAGGAATGGTTTTCCAAGATGTTAAATTGATCATCTTATAGCTACTTTTCCAGGCATTTTTGAGGGAAAAAACGTGAAAATCAACCGAAAATCGCTTTTTTGCCCAAGTTTTAAGTATCGAAACAGACCTTTTTCAGCATCGGATAGAAAAATCACCAACATCAGTTGGACGCACTCATAAAAGCGAGTTTCAATGTCAAATTTCGGAAGTTTCAGAGACCTACTTCAGGAACCAAGTATCAATTAAATTAGGCGCAGGAACATTATTACTGGCATGTTTTTGCTTCGCGGCCATAAAGTTCATAAGACCACTAAAAGTTATTTTTCCCTCATTATCTTCTTTTCGACTCTCATCATTCACCAAAAGCCATCAATGGTAGGTATATCCCATCCAAATTTTGAAGAAATCCAGAATAAAGACCACCTTTCAAACCTACATGATCCAAGAGATTTTGTGTGGGCTATAATTTATTGATATAAATTTTTAATGGAGGGCTACTGATTAAAACATTAAAATACACAAAGCCTTTGGAACGCTGCACTCCATCATCAGGACATATAATACTACCCAAACTTAACACAAAACAACAAACTTAACTATGAAATTATGTAACCACACGAGTTGAATGCGCAGCTGGTATTGGTTAGTGATGAGAGTCGTCATGCATTGTTGTTTGGAATTGTCTGCTGGGTTGCAACACTCATGTATGAAAACGTTGTTCACTCAATCATGATTTGGTAAAAAAAAATATTATGCTGTCAAAGAGTCTTATTTCGTCCCTAAGAATGAGCGTCTGAAATCTCCAAACTTGATCCTGAATCTTTCTACTATATGTAGTCAAGTAGCAAGGCACTCATTTTAAAAGGAGAGTCAGCATACAATGAAAATGACTTTAAATGTTGCTTGTTAGAAAGACTCCTGCCAAAGGTCTGTTTTTCTCTTTAGGAGTTAGGGAGTGTCAAAGCAACCGAGTGGCACTCCGTTATTATAGTCAATTTAGACCATTTTCATGGTACTCCAACTCGGTGACAATACTGCACATCATCCTTTTCTTGATACAATGTTAAGTCTTCATTTCACCTCTCCATATCACAACCTATATCCTATATATATATATCCTATAAATTATATTTACAACTTATATATAATTTTTTCATTCATCATTTTGTGTCGATCTTTAAACAAATGAAACACCCGTTTTTACTTACAGCTTAGAATAACTAAAGGAAAAGGAAAGAAGTTTATATCTCCCCTGCAAAGAAAACAAAAACATCCTCAAGAGAAAAGTTGACTGTTATTTCTGTTTTTCAGGTACTGGGTGTGTTGTTGGTGATTGTCTCTTCAGTCGATGGTGATCTCAACTCCGATTTTACAGACATGAAGACATCCCACAGGCACTTTAATCGAGCATTGGCCATGCGAAGTCTAAAGTTTGGTATCTCTGCTCGTACGCTGAGGGCAACTAAACGCACCTGCTAATCTAATGTGTTCTTTTTTGTTTTTAAACTTGCAGTTTTAATTTTTAGTTCATTCTAGTCGTTAGCCGTATTTTAATTTACACTACCTTGATGGTAAATGAAAGCTGTTCTGTTTCTTTTTTGTTTAAAATTGTAAAAGGTAATCTTTACTTTTGAATCCACTTTTCAATTTTATCTTTTCCTCTATCAATTCATGCACAAGTGATGGTCTATCAAATGCCAAAAATTCAGAGCCAGTGAATAAAGAGCAAATCTACGGCCCAACTAAGAAAACAGATATCATGGTGTGATAATCCAGACATTCCCATCACAGTTTATATTTTAATGAGGAAACTCATCACTGTGATTGCTTGAAATCTCCCTTAGTTTTTTTTCTCTATCTGAAAACTTTTCCATGAAAAGGTCAAGTACATAAATAAAATGGGCTATCTTTCTGAGTAATGAAATAGAGATGTTAAACCTGGCAATCAAGATATGCGGTTACCTAGTTCAGCATTTAAAATTACAGCAGCCTCACTGCACTACCTCCTTTCATAAATTTCTGCAATGGCGAAAGGAGGCCAATCATTTGAAGAGGAGACTTTACCATGGGCGGATCTAGCAAAATGGCAACACCGGATTCCTACCATTTCAACCTATGGAAATATATCGATTCTTGGAGGGGCCAGGTGCTCTGACAAGAATTGATTATTTAGCATAGGTTTAAATGGTAGGAATCCGGTGTTGCCAAATTGCAGGATCCGCCTTCGGACTTCACCACCAATAGCGCTCTCTCCCGTGGGCATTATCTCAAGCAGGCTGGTTATTTTGCTTTGCTAATTAAAGTGGCAAGGTCTATCATTCAGCAATATGAATGAATGGGATGAGATGCTTTTCAATATCAATGGAGGCGTTGGGTGTGGAAAGGGCTTTTCTTAGTAGCTGTGGGTCACAATTTTTACTGCATTTATATTTTAGAGAGGACTCTATTCGGTGAATTTTCTGGAAATTTTCGTTTTCAGCATTGAAAAAATCATCTAGAAAATTCAGTAAAAGTTTTAACGAATTCTACTCATTTGCTTTAATCATAGTGGATGAAAAGTTAGCAGAGATTCTGAAAGACTGCAGCCGATAAATGCCCTCTCTGCACCCAACGCCTCAATTGGTAGAGCCAGATATTTTGTCATGTTAATGTAAAACTTCTTTTGAGTGTGCAGCAGGGCTCCTTTTGTAACAATTCAATTAAAATTGTGAGAATTCATCAGTTACGTCCTGCTGGCTTTCTTAACCAAAAAAAAAAAACTAGGGGAGCGAGAAAGTAAAAAACCAGTTGTTAATGCCTGTAGTAGTTGCAAAGGACACTGCGAATTTTAAGAAGAAGGAGAAAGTTGATCGAGATCTTTTGAAGAAACGCTTATAGAATTAAAACAGAGGGTTGCTTGAGAGCACATGGTCTCACTTGAGCTGAACAAGCTAAGAAGTATCAAATACCAATACTGTGAGCTGTTGCAAAATTATGAAAACATGCTGGATTTGTCCTTTGATCTCTCAAGTGAATCCTGCAAATCTATTGGTTACCAAAAGAAGTAAAATGATGATACGTGTCGCGCTGATGATCTATTTGTTCATCATGAAAATGTTCTTGTTACCAGTGATGAATTTATTCAAAACTTGTGCATGGATTAGATATTAATAATAATTCATCAACTTACAACTAGAGTGAGTGGGCTGTGTGATTCTCTTCCTTTATGCATCTGACACTAAACTGATTCTGAAACCATCTGTTGTAAATTTAATCCATCAAGGAAATTGATGTGTACAGTGCATATTGCGTATGTGTGGGCATTTTTGCTATTTATCATGAGGTATGTAAGTGCGTTTAAACCGTTCTTTCAAATCCACAATTTTTTACATTAAAAAATCTAAACCTCTGATTTTTGATACATTTTACATACTTTGAATGTGCTCGTGCAAATTAAAGTTTACTCTCAATCATAAATTCGAGTTTTTATTTCAAAATGTGGTGAATGGATTAACCAAAATCAGCTAAACTGCATCTGAACATTGGCTTCCTTTCCTCCCATGTTTTTTTTTCTCTAACTCAGATATACGAGTCATTTTTGCTCAGTAAACTATGGAAAATTTGCAGAAAGTTTCAAGACATTAAAGTGTTCGATTTCCCATTGAAAAATAAATCTTGAGAGAAAACTTGGCAGTGGAAAATCAATGGCTAAGAAATCATACCGCCTATCTGGAAACTGACAATTTTGCAGGACGAAGAGAAAACTTCGTCAATTTTGTACTTTTGAGGTTAGATTTGCAGTTTTTTTGTGCATAACAGCATCATTGCAGCGCTGCCCTACAAAATCGGAAAAAAATTAAAACCATCAGCTTGCGTATTTTGTACTGTAGAATGGAGCAAAGTTGCTAACTCATTTTTGCCTAAATTGTTAGTTAGGCGGTACTGTTTCTTAGCCCTCAAAATGTAAATCGAGGGCTGTCCATTTATGATGTCACCCTTTTCCCCCTATTTTTCACCCTTTCCCCGACCATGTCATGGCATGGAAAAAATCAGAGAGTGGATTATCCTTCGAATGGGCATCAAAACATGTATTCTGGACAAGTCATTATGACATGATAGTTACTTAAAGGTGTTGACAGCAATTCAATGAAGGAGAGAGGCACTTACAGCAAATAAGACAAATATTTATTATTTTAAAAAAAAGGGAAATGGCTTACATATGATACATAGACTCTCACGTCAGTGAAAAACTTTGTTGATCAGTATATTTTCGGAAAGGTAAAGAAGAGTGTAACAAAAATTAATGACTAACCTATGATATAAAGTAATCTTAATAGAGAGTAAATTAAATACTGTCGAAGTATAAAATTATGTTTCACTGACGATTATTTTCAATCTTCATTTTGCTCTTCTTGAAAGCTGGTATATGTTTAGAGTTAAGACGCACTTTAACAGTGACCAAAATGTACAAAAATAACTTCTTATCTGAATATTGTTCTGACATAGTCAAATTTAATTTATTCTAAGATTGCAACATAATAAATAATAAAAATAAGTAAGTATAGCAGTATGTTGTTCAAAAATAACATCGTATTAATTGTGCGCTTCATCATTTACCTGTTCCACTCAACTTGTGGTCGGTTCTTGATTGACGATTACTTGAATAACATATCCTGGCTGGATTTTGATTTCGTCTAAATGAAGCTTGTCACCAAGTAGTTTGCCACCAAAAAACCACCGCTGGCGAGAAGGCTCGATACCTTCTTGACTCTGAAACATTGGATATTAAATTATAAATCTGCTTAATTAGTAGTTAATTATCCAGTTGTTCATTATTTACCAGCGGGCATGTTTACAACAAAAAATGAAATATCACTTGCTCGTCGAAATTAGTTCTTCATGAATGTTCTTCCTCCTACTTAATATATTTCTTGATGTCAATTATGATCACTTGTTTATTAAAACATTGTGCGAATTTTGAAATGTTGAGGAAAGCATGATGCAGGACAAAATCGAAATCTTTGATAAATATTTTTCTCGCAAGAGATTTGAATTCATGCCACAGAAAGTGAAGAGACCACTAAAGTTTTACAGAATGCACTCTCAAAGTTTCAGCGCTTCCCCTCTTCTTTCTGTGCAGTAGTACAGTAGTAAACTCTATTACACCCATCATTGGGCTGAGCTACCAATATTCTTTTTCTCTTCTTATGTACAAGAGTAATGTCCTATTTCATACTGCAAGGCTCAGCGAGTTTATTATGCCGATAAACGGTTGTAACTAGACACTTGATGAGCAAATTTTGCAGCACAGTTATGCTCTTTCTCAATTGGATTCCATTATTTCAATCTCCCTATCATGGATGACGCTGGTAATCGCAAACACTACTAGTGATCCCTGATTTAAACCTAACACAGCCTAACCGTGTGGACGGACTACTACAGAATTGCTATGCCCCCTTCTTGCCGCCTACAATGAGAAAAGATAAGTTACATGAGTACAATTGTCACCCATAACTACAATGCTGGCTTTTTTTAGGTATCCCCAAAACTTGGTCACCGAAAGGGATCGAAGAAGGGACCTCAAGGCTGGTATCTGACTGCCTTGACCACTACACCTTCCAGGTTGGTTCCTGTTTGTGCATGACACTATCACCACCAACCTGAATCCATTCTTTATCGTTAATTCTTGCTGAGATTTCACAGGGGAGAAAAAAAATTAAAAGAAAGGGCCGACTTTGGGGCATTTACTTCAAGATGGGTACCTACTTGGATGAGTCTAAGGAAAGTCAAGGAGTTGCATACTATTACAGCTTTTGAATAAGAAGTTTACGGTCTAGAATTTTTAAATTTATTAAGGGCTCTTCCACTCAAAAATTTTGTGGGATTACAGAATACCCGACTTGAACCCCCCTCCTCCTCCTCCTTCCGCTATGAATGCTTCAAGCAATACGTAAATGGCTCCTGCATCAGTTTGGAGATAAAACATACCTGTAGTTTTTTCTTGACATAACCTATTGTATCACGCGTAAGAACTGGAAGTTTTACATCTTGGCAGCTACTGGAAAGTCGAAGCTTAAGTACCATTTCTGACCCTCCCTCTGTGGCTTCTGTAATGATAAGGAAAGAGGCAAACAAGGTTTTTAAAAAATATTGAAAGCTAGTTTTTTAACAATATAACAATGAAGTTAATGGAGCACTTGCACGCATGAAGGATTTGCGATACAAGTACTTTCTCTTGCATACAATCTCCCAAAAAATACGTTGGTGCCACTGGTTTTCTCTGATATCAACTCTAAAGCTCAAAAAAAGCTCTCAAAGTTGAGGCCATAATGGAGCGGATATCCCTGACTACCTTGTGAGTCCATCTCTAGATCAATACAGACTCTCAATGCAAAGATAAGGAGCAAATAAATTAGCAGAGTTACCGTGTTGCCAGTTTGGGAATCTCCGGCAAAGTGGCAATCCTGTTAAAATATTTGCTCCCTATATTTGCTTAGGGACTTTGTTCTGATGAAGAAGTGAACTCTCAGGGTTTCGTGGGATATCCCCTCCATTACAGCCTAAACTTTGAGAGCTTTTGAGTTGATTTTAGAGAAAATCAGTGGCACCATCTTATTACTTGCAAAATTTTACAGAGGAATCAGTATTTAAATTGCAAATTCTTGACACATGCAAGAGCTCTATTGAAGGCACTACGATTGTACTTCTTTTGAGATTGATCCATTAAGATATGTGCCAGCTTGATTCTTGTATGTACTTTCTCTAAGTGCTAAACTGAAGATAGCTGATCATTTATTGCACTTTAACTGTTCAGAAACTTATTTGATACAGACTCTATCCCGTATTTATCCAGCATTATAGTCAGACCAAGCAAAAGATTGAGCTTACCTCGATTCCTAAGCTGGATATAAGGTGCCTCAGCTGGTAACACTAATTTACGCACACTGGCATAGCGAAAATATAACAAAAAATATATTCAACTTAAAATTGGATTGAAATGAAGGTATGAAAATAATTAACAAATTAGGTGTGCTCTAAGTAAAAAAAAAAGTTGTGACACTGAAATCTCCCTGAATGTTTGAATGCTTTCAGAGAAATGATACATTAATTACCTGATATATCGGGCGGCGAATCTCTACCACTGTTTTCCTTAACAATATTGATTGGATATGAAAGACAGTAAACTGGCACCTGATAGCATGTTCCTAATTCATCGTAACATTCTGTTAAATAACCTGAAAGAAACAAAAACGGCTTACATCACACGATACATCATTCATCACAAGAAAATTGCAGGGATTCAATTATTTTTTTTATTTATTTATTTTATTATTACAAAACAGAATTACAATAATAATCATATGTAACTGGTGGCTGCATACAGAGAATCACAATACAGAGGAACCAGCAAAATATATAACATAAGGTAGCCCTGTCTGGTTTTTATTGGAAATGGATTTTATGGAAAATTAGTTTCTAATTTTCATTTTCTTGCGGTCAGGCGGTTTTGCCTTACAGCCTAATACCCGATTAACCTCATACAAAAATTCCTGATTTTATGACAAAATGGGAGATTTACAAATTCCAGCGAGTTACGCAAGAAAATAAGGATCATCACTTTTGAAAATGACCTCAAAGCTGGGCCATGATCCGTACATCATGAAATCGGGCATTCATTGCTTCAAAGGTAAAGTGAGGAGACAAATGAGATTTTTGAGGATTTCCTGAACATTTATTCTTCTTGCAGTTGCTATTGAAAAGGTGACTCATTTGAGAAACTTAATATATTTCACCAGATAGTTTGCGCAACTTGTTGCAGCTACAAAGCATTTCTAGCACTGGGATACTTTCACATCCTAAGGATTAAAAGTCTCAGAGTATGCAGAATGAGTACGTGTTTCTAGGTTTGTATGCAAAATATATTACAGTTGAGGGATTCTTACCATTAGGTACTGAAATATTAGCACCGTCAAGTATAGCCTGTGCTAACTGAAAATCTGATGCCTCTGCAGCAACTGCAGCGGCACGAAGTGCATCCCATATTTCCTTTCGGCCTTCAAATGCAGGGGCAGTGTCCCAAAACTCATCTCGTTTACTACGCAGTTGACCTTCTGTGAGTGGTACATCACTTTTCCACCTTATTATTTCCACGCATAATGGGTGATTCTTTCTTGATCGTCCTGTAAAGGAAAATAAATATTTTAACAAAATAATAAATTTCTGGTTTCTTTGGAACAGTATACAAATAAAAACTGAAAAACCACCAACAAGAAATTATAAAATTTCAGAGAAAGACCAGTTGGCAGTGTAACTTAAGATTCATCTCATACGTGGGTTTCTTTCAGAGAAGCAGTCACGATCTGGGTACTAAATATTTCCTGCCTATCTTTGATTTCATCACTTGTTATGAATCAGATGGGTATGTGAGATTATAAGCAGACTGGTGCATAAAATAGGCATCTAAGGTACAGGATTTGCAAACACCACTGGTAAGAGATGAATATCACTTAGGACTAAAGTTAGCTAATGAATAGAAAAAATGCAAAATTTTTCTTAGAAATTTCAAGTACAAGAGCTAATTTACAAGTTAATTGATGACCAAATTCAAGGGTGTCCCACTTTCTTTAGCGTAATCTTTTTTGATAATAAAGGTTAAAGGATGTAGTGTAAATGAGAGCACCCTAAGTTGTTCAGGCTGAAAAAAGTGTGAAACCAACAAATTCTCGATTGATGCTTTCAACAAGAATGTAGTAATGTAACATTAGAGATGTCAAAGCAGCTACTTAAAAGAAATTGCCGATTGCCTTCCAAAAAATTGGCTGCTGAAAATTTCTTCTTGCCTAGTCTTTGTGTGTGAGCGCCACAACAAACCTTTGATAAATCAAAACAAAATTGGAAATCAAAAACAAAAAAATAGGTGGTCAGAGCTTGATATCCATACTTAACTAAATACTAACCTGATTGGGTTGTTCTCAAGTCATGCTCTGGAGAATCGTCGCTTCTTCCTCTGCCATTGCGGTTAATTCCAATGCATCCTCCCATTGTAATGAGTGAATTTCAGCGGCATTGTAGACATACATTTGAAGAGCGACAAAAGCTAGCTAGGAGTAGGCTTGAAAACCTACTTGAGCCATGCTGAGAATCATTATCGCTCATGAAAGTACTTATCACAGAACATCATTTCCGAGGAGAACACTAAAATTAATATTCGCCCCGATTAACTTCATAATGAGCAAAGTAGAAATGAAATAATAGCACCGGATAGCGACGGATCACCCTAGATTGGATAAAATTACTAGAAAGGAGGAAATTATATTCAAGAGCTCAGGGTGAGCTAGGTTAGGATAGACTTGGGATTGGGACAACTGAGAACTGACTTAAAATACATTAGATTTAAGAACTAAGTTAAAAAACCGGAACTACGTGGACACTCGAGAAATTTACGATAAGATATACGGCCTCAGGACAGAGGCACGACCAGAAATAATCTTAACAAATTGAAAAAAAAACAAAGAGACCTGTGACTGCAATACGCCATCTGCTCTGCTGAGAAACTCGTTTTCAAAGATTATGAGTTGATATCAGCAGCACGATCTACAGGAACCATCTTCAAAGTTCAAAGATTATCGGAGGCGGTCTGGCTGACTGGCGGGCCTTTTGAAAATGGACAGGCCTCTTCCAAACAACGGAGCTACCGCATCAATTCGCATACGCCTAATCGTCATGTGCGCGCGGCACTCTGAAATTGAAAAAAAAGGGCGACAAGCAAAGAGTATAGGTCGGGACGTTTTGAACTCCACTCTCTCTCACAAACCGAATTAGAAGAAACTTTGGAGACATTTTGAAATGAACAAAAATCAGGAGTTTCACCAGCTCAAATATTATTTCTCTGGAGATGATGATTGCAGCAATGCACCGCTGATTGCAAAATACACAGCTGCCATGCATAAAGCCCAATTCACACTATCAAACTTTTCATCCAACTCTTGGACACAACTTTTCGAATCAAAAGTTGAATAGTGTGACACTGACGAGAGAAAACGACAATTTGATGAAAAATTGAACGGAAACTTGAATGTGACTTCACATTCAACGTTTCGTTCAACTTTCCATCCGATTGGCTGGAAAGTTCAACCAAAAGTTGAAACGAAATCTTCCGACCGACATGAGCCGAAGCTGTATCTTTGCCAACGCAGGACGATATCACACTGCAATGGTAGGTAATTGAATCAAATTTTTTAGCGTCCAACTTTCCATCCATAACTTTTTGTTCCATTATGTCGGATGAAAAGTTTGATAGTGTGAATTGAAATTAATATTTCCTTTAAACGGCAACTGAAGGAAACAAAAAATTTTAGTTTCCATCCATGCAAACTCCTGCACGAATTTAAATGCGTAAAGAAAAAAAAACAACAAAAGTCCTGAGGTAGTTTTGAATACGGAAATGGGTTGTTCTGCCAGATATCAGATCAAGTGGCAACTTTTCTTGTGAGGACGTGTGTTGTATGAAAGGTATAGGAACATTTTTTTTACTATTCTTCTTCCAGCTGAGAAGAGAAAAAAAGTCAAGTAGTTAAAAATTGATTGGGAGATTTTTTATTTAAGAAATATTTTTAAAAACATACTTAAGAAATCTAGGCTACTTGTTTGCCTTTCCAGTTATGACAGAAATACACGAGCGTGCTACAGGGTATAAATCTATTGTACAGCTATTGTTTAATTAATTCAACTTAAAAAAAAAAAAATTTCACAGCTCCTCAGATCAGTAAGAGAAAATATAATAAAAATATTCTGAAACAGACATTTCTATTTGTAAAAAAAATAATTTAGACATTGTGTAAAAACTTTCATTACTGACGAATTTCATTTAAAATTTTCATAAAATATGATTGGCTAAATGGCTACACTGATATTTAGAAGTTTTCAAAAGCTTTTGAGGGTTTTACTAAAGCATTAGAGCATCGAACAATATAGTGCTAAATCAATTTTTTCAAAATTTCAAGAGAGATAGGAAGATCGTCCAACTAACATCAGTTAATATCATGCTTATATTCAAGAGGGCAAAATAATCTCAGAAGAAAAATCTATTAGTATTAATTCACTGAGTGCTTCAATAAGTATTCAATTCACAGACAGATGAATATACCCTAATCTAAAGAAAGACTCCAAAAATTTAAAAATTAAGTGAAAACATAAAAATATTTTTGGAATGATGTAAAAAAATTACACCTCCACCAGTCACCTATGTTTGTTGCGATGTATCTGAATGATAATTTGAAAAAAAAAAACCCTAAAAGCATTAATAGAGAATGAAAAACAAATCTGAATTTTTTTCCCCCTAATTATGAACGCTTTTGAAATATGTACGTGTAATAAAGCCAATGGACTAAAGTATCAAACTTTGGAGGTAGCCTGAATGCTCTGAAAAGGTTCAAACTTTGATTATTTGAACAGAAATATTTTTAACTGAAGACCAACAGTTATTCGAGGGAGAATCTACAGCAATGCGAGCGAACGATCCACCAGCTGAACCTTTAGCAAGATATTCAGGATTTATGACAATACATCCATTAATTTCCTAGAAAGAAAGAAAAAGAAACATAAAATAAAATAATTATTAAAAAATATAAAAATCACAATAAAAACAACTCAAATTACTTTCTTTCGGTAAATTATCTATAGTTGACTCCCATATATTAGCATTTCAATACCTATTCAAGAACCATGTTGAGATATTGCCGCTGGTGACAGAATATCACCAGGATGAAATTAACCACAAAGATAAGTTAGCAGCAGTAATATAAGTGATGTAAAATAAAAACTGAATTTTTTTTCAGTGCAATTCTGTGATAGAACTGTGATTGAAATTGGAGAATTTGCAGTTTATGCACTTGCTACTCAAAATGAGCAAAATTATGAAGGTATTTTTCTCAAAATTTCAAATTTTAATTATTTTATTTTATTTTTCCATTTTTATGTGACCGGCGCCAAGGCTTCAATAGAGGTATAAACTAAAAACACCTTGTTGGACAGTTGTTTTCAAATAAAGAATGAGGAGGATAACTTACATAATTAATGAAACTTACTTTGACGAAATACCGAAGTTTAGAGGGTAGAAGGAGAATATTTGGTATGACAGTCATCTGCGCAAAATCTTCCCACAGACTTAGGTCCAAATTCACTTCTTCAGAGGAGGGAAACAGAGGATAAAAGTTCTGCTGAGCAAAGAGATGAGAAACTAGCCGCGTCATTCGATCAGTTTTTGAGTGTCTAGAATAAAAAAATTAGAATTTAGTTGAAATTACCAAAAGGCTCTTCATTTTCTTTAAAAGGAGATTTACAAACGTGGTGAAAAGTTAGGCACTTTTTTACTTCATAATCACTGTGTTGAACAACTTAGATAGGTAGCTGATCTAAAGGAACACACAGATTATACTTTTTTACAATGCCTATGGAACACACAGATTGGCTGATCTAAAGGAACACACAGATTATAGTTTTTTACAATGCCTATCTTTCATTTGTTCTCTCAAAGGAAACATGAGCCACCTTCCAAGGGTTAGAGAGTTATTATTCTATATTGATTAGCTGTTTGTCATGAAATGAATGAAAGGAGGGAAATTTTGATGTCACAAATATGTTAATACAAGTACTGGGCAAGTGCATCAAAATTTCAAGAACTAAACTGAAAACCTAATAAAAATTTTCTCTTTATGAGATTTATATTAGATACTTTCACTGTCGCAAATACCGAATTGAACTATTTTTTTCTTCCATGACATAATGAATTTCTCGCAGCAATCAGCTTGGAAGGCATGGCATGGAGTTTTTTGGTCACTTTTTTGCCCAAACAAAAGTTTTCTCAAAGTAATTAGGCTTTGCAATCGAACTTGCGTTGTTTTCTGTCTGCTCACAAACGCTACAAAGGTCTACTATCTTTGACCGATCAATGACCACAAGCAAAAGGGTTACTTGCGAAGTTGCGAAAAATGTCCTAACTCTCTACTTGCTTGTCACAGTGAACATTAGGTAATTTTCAAAAGAGATGACTTCCTTTCCTCCAAAAAGTGAGACGAGTTAAACAATTTTTGTGAAGCAGATTGGCAAAAACGTTAGATTGTAGGAATTGGTCAGTGTTTTGGAACTTTTTGCACCCCCTCACAGCTCAGTGATACTACTACTTGTGATGACTATATTTTCTAAGTAATTGCAGACTATTCCATTTTACAGATCAAGTTGATTAAGGGCGTTATTGGAAAAATTTGTAGGAAAAAGAAAGATTTATAAGGATAAAAGAAGATAAAAGTGGTTACCCTGATATTTCCTCTTTGCTAAGATGCATCAATATATCGGTTGAGGTAGCTCCGACAATCAAGCCGGAGATGTTCAAGAGGCATGGGTCCGACACGCTTTGTATTGAATGACTGGAAAGGGTAGGAGGCGTAGGGTACACAGGGTGCGAGCACGCATCTCTCATACTTGATACCATTACAATTTTAGTCCGTTTACTATAACAAATCCAATAATCTAATTGTAGTATATTATTACATGCAATTTATTGGTTCTCTTTTCATGCTGAGGATTGCCTACTTTCAAGAGTTTCTCCTCATGGAAAATCAAAAAGTAGTGATGTGTCAACCTGGCATTTCAGGCCGTAATTGTTTTCTCACCATATGATCTCTTCATGGCAGATTCTTGATTTAAAGCTCCGCGTATCACCACTGATTAGGATTTTAGTCATTACAAGGGTTATTTGAATTTCATTTTAAAAAATGGAACCAGTGCTTCTGGCTTCTAAAAGCACCTGTCAGCATTGCAAAACTAATAGCACGCACGTTGTTTATGAAATGAGTTATACATTGCAGTTACTTATTGCAAAGTGTTGTCCATTTTGAAGAGACTGAAGAGTCTTTACCTAACAACAAACCTTTAATGTCTCAGGATTAAGACAAGTTGGTGATCATACAATCATGGCAAAAGTGACATCATGACTGCAATAAGCAGAGTTTTCTCACTACAGAGGGAATGCAGTGATCTGAGTAAGTCATTGCAGTAATCTGAGTCATTAGGTATGTCACCTTGGCTAAGGTGCGCCTTGCTGCCTTTGTCCTTGGATTAAGTTTAGAAGTACTGGTTTCAACGAACAACTGATTCAAAAGTATTAACACTGATGGTTAATTAGAAAAACTGCTTATGACTTTAAGATCGGCCGAACTGAGCAAACAGGAACAAAGTAATATTTTCAATTAATTGAGCTGAGAATAATTTTGTGCTTGTCTAGATGCATAGTTTCTCCTACCCAAAATTTAAAGTTGAGTTAAAAATCAAAGTAAAATGGATACGATTCCAGTTAGTATCAAATTATTCCTAATGGATTACCTGAATATTCAAGTTAAGATTAAAACAAGTGTAAATTGGTCATGTGCTGAGTGAATCTAAAAAGAACCTCTAAGATAGAGATTTTTGGCCACCAAAGCCCACCTTCAAATAACATGCACTGATAAATCATACCTAACAATACTTCAAATACAGATTGAATTTATTTTCAAATTAAAAGACTTTAAAATGAAAGCATTCTATTGGTCAAAAAGTAAAATTCCCAAATTTTTTGTGCCAAAATAAGATCTGAGCGAAAGTTCAAATTTTCATAGAATTGCCGCTTAATGAATTTTGTTAAGGTGATTCGATAGACACCATATTTTGTGTCAGAACCGCATGCGATATATCGCATCAATTGGTTCCATTTTTTCAGCTAATCACCATTTTTCTCGAATTTTGAGATCGCAATTCTGTTGTCAGGGGACTAAAGCACTCACTTACCAATTTTAACGAAGAAATTCAACGTAGTAAAGGCGTGATTTTTTTAGAGAGAATATATCGCATTCGAGTGCAGTTTCAATATCAGTATCAAATGCGATATTTTCTCTCTAAAAAAACCACGCCTTTATTACGTTGAATTTCTTTGTTAAATTGGTAAGTGAGTGCTTTAGTCTCTTGACAACAGAATTGCAATCTCAAAATTGGAGAAAAATTATGAGTAGCTGAAAAAATGGAACCAATGGAGAATTTGCACGCAATTTTTTTATTACTTCATCTGAAAGTGCCTAATGAGCTGAGTTTGCAATATTTTTCATAATTTTTTTCTGACATGGGAAATTGGAGAAAAATTGATTTAAAAGTGAGAAAATGTGCCGCCTTGTGACGTCATCTGGCGGCATTTCCCATTTAAACACATGTATTTTAGCAGAACCGGTTATTTTGTCATATCTCCTCTAATAATTGCTCAATTTATGAATCAAGGGTATCTTCGTGTTCAGTTCACTCAGAAGATTCCACTTAAACAGGAAATTCATCAAATTTCAGACCCTTGCAAATTCTCCATTGATGCGATATATCACATGCCATTCTGGCACAAAATATGACGTCCATCGAATCACCTTAAAGCCAAGAAAGAAGAAAATCCTTGGATGACCAACCGTACCTAGAGGCACGCAGATGAGAAGCTCCTATTAAAAGCATACTTACCCGCGAAACCGATCTAGGAGTTTCTTCACAATTTGCTCATGATACTCTTGAAAAGGGGTTGCTAGGAAAGAAACATTATCTCCAAATAATGGATGGTCTGCATCTACTAGAGGTCCGATTAGTATGAAAATATGAGGCTCTAGCTTCTCCACAGATAACAGTAAATCTTCTAAGGGCTCATACAGCATTGAGTCATTGAAGGTAAAAGGCCCACTTGCAACAATTATTTGTAGAGGGTCTGAAAGGAAGAAAACAAATTCTGCATTACTTACACAGCAAAGAGAGATAAAATAACAGAAGGAGCAAAAACGGGGGGAATGTGTTTATCTTTCCATTCACTGGCTGCTAAAAATATTCTATAACTTTTGTACTTTGATCCCTACAATTAGTGCTTTCTTGAAGTATATACTTTTATTACGAACGCAAACTCACCGTTAGGTACCCATTTCCATAAAGAGGCACTCTGCTTGAAAATAAGGACTTTTATAGTACTAAGTATTACACTTCTGTACCATTTTCAATGCAAAAATGTTACCGATGGGCCTTTCTTGAAAGCAGCCTTAACCCTAGCCTTTCACAAAGATTTCATACAAGAAAGTCTGGAGAAGGAATCTAAGACCCCTATAAAAAATATACTGGGCTTTTACTTTGTATGAAATTTATAGAAATTCCTGGAACAACCGGTAAAGTCGTGAAGTTGTTACTGTTGCATAACTAGCTTTTTGAAGGAGCTGTTTGAAACCTAACGGTTGAGATATTGACGTGGATCACACTTAGATGGAAACCAGCATTGATAAGAGTCACTTATTTTATACATAAATTGATTGTTACATTTTTTTTGATAATCAAGTTTTTTTGTTAAAAAATTCTTTAGATGCCTATCGTCACGCAAAGAGCCGAAAGAAGTCACCTTATTCATATCAAAATTAAAAAAATGTGAGTCACCTTTGGACTGGAATACCGGTATTTCTGTAGATGGATTGACAGAGGCATCGGAGTAAATTTTTGTTGCTAGTAGACAGTTACGACTAGGATTCTTTCCTTCCACTACGACGATTTGGCCAGGGAACAATGAATACTCGACTCCTAGTGGTATTCGTAGAGGCATAGTAGCACCATTCATGTCCCACCTGCATCCTTCTAGGATGATTGATGACTCATTGAGTCTTCCATTGCCATCACATCCGATTCGTCCAATAGAAATGAAATCTACCTGTAATCAAAAACTTTAAGGTATAAACACCTAGCTACACCTGAATTTGTCAAAATACCTAGCTTCTTGTAAATTGGTCAAAATACCTAGTTACACCTAAATTTGTCAAAATACCTAGTTACACCTAAATTAGTCAAAATACCTAGTTACACCTAAATTGGTCAAAGTACCTAGTTACAGCTGAATTTAAACTGAAAATATGAAATACTTGCATATCCCGAGTAGCAGTGATCGCAATAAATAGCGATTTTATCGATTGGTTATCGCGATTATATCGATGGCAATAAATAAAGATATTATTGCATTAAAAATTGCGATTTATGGCAATTAAATCGCTACACATCGCAATTTTTGGTTCGATAAACTCTCAATCAATTTTCATCGATAAAATCAAGATGAAATCGCCATTTATTGCGATAAATTGTTGGGCGATTTTATCCCGATAAGATCAAGGGAAATCGTTCAGATGTTGATGATCCGAGCGAATTTACTGCCGATAAAATTGCAATATATTCCGATTTTTCCATTGAAAAATGCTACTTGGCATCTTAAGCATTTCACCTGAATTAAATACCTCTGAAATAGAATATAGCTACTCTTTTTTAACTACCTACATGGATCTTTTTAGACATTCCCTCCATCTATATGAACAAAACATAATGTGGCTATCGTTGGGAGAAGGGAACTCCGTCCACAAAGGAACATTTTTCAGCAGAGATCATCATGAACAAAACTTATGGTTACATCATTTATTTAAACTGATTTAAACCCATGAGCCATTCATTTACTAACATACTAGACCAAAAATCATTACACACAAAGGGACAGAATTTTATGCAAAAACAAAGCTTTACCTCACTGACTGAAGTTATGCTTTTCGGATCTGGCAAATCATACTTTTTAACAATAAAGGAACCAATGGCTGTGGTGGTGTCGAGTAAAATATCAGCATCATCATGCAACTGCCTGTACATGTATTTGGAGTTCGGAGGTATGACATTTCCGTACGGTTCGATATTGAGATTGATGTCAGCGCTTTTTTGTGAGGACATCTCTTTCCCATAAGAACATAATACTTGATTTCGATTGGTGCGTTCTTTAAAATTGCCACTAGGTGTAATCCTGTGTAACAAATGGAGCACATCTTGAGAAGTTATCAACTGAAAAGATACAGTGGTGAAAAGCAACAAAACAAGACAGCATAAGCCAATCAGGAAGCAATTTCAAAGGGTCAGGGGAAATTATAAGAAAACACTGAGGGGAGTTTTCTCACATATTTAGAAATGTTTATACTCTGGCATGTGATGTCTGCTCGATACAATTTTTCTGTGGGGTCTTTCTTCTTGAATCCACGTTAATAAGTTTCGAAAAGACTGGTTGAAAACTTTGGTATCCTATACCCTCACAAGAGAAGAGAAAAGAAAAAGAGATTTAAACTGGAACCTACGCCGTGAGAGAATAGGTAGCAGGAGAAAATGTGCCTGGACTTCGATGACTGCTGATGTCATCAGAAACTACAGTTGGTGTAACATTGATCCGTTTTTGACACGTTCTGCCCTGCAAAAAAGAATTAAGAGGTTGAGTGAGTTAATCTATTATTATTCATAATGAGAAAAGAATAGAAGAATAGAATCTATGTCTCTTGGCATTCTATTTTGTCTAATTGTGACTCATGAAGAGAACACTTTTGGGTGATTGGCTAATTACATTTTGCTACTTCTATTTAAAGTATAATAATTTCTTTATCCTCTACAGATCAGTTCTTCAACAGTTTTTAGTGAAATTTAAGCGTAATTTTTGTTGTTCTGTTGAAATTTGATACCCCACGCACTAAATTCTTTGGCTGGAACTTGATTCTCCTACACCGAATGTATAGGCCAACTGTTACAATTCTCTTGGACTTGATTTGGGCAGACTATATTTTATGGTGATTTTATGAACGCCATATTTTGTGTAAAGACAACATGCAATATATTACATTGATTGGTTCCATTTTTCGGCTGCTTCTCAATTTTCTCGAATTTTGAGATCGCAATTCTGTCGTCAGGAGACTAAAGAATTTACTTACCAATACTGGAAAACAAATCCATTATAATAAAGGCGTGGTTTGTTTAGAGAGAAAATATCGCATTCGAGTGCAGTTTTGATATCAGTATCACATGCGATATATTTCCTGGAAAAAAACCACACTTTTATTACGTTAAAGTTTGTCAAAATTGGTAAGTGAATTCTTCAGTCTCCTGACAACAGAATTGTAATCTCAAAATTCGAGAAAAATGAAAAGTAGCTGAAAAAATGGAACTAATCAATACGATACATCGCATGTCGTTATGACACAAAATATAGCGTCGATCGAATCACCTTAATTTCTTATTCTTTATTAAAAAAAAATTAATAGACGAAAAAAAAAAAAAATTCACTCACCTTGGGAGTTACATTGTATAAACTCAGGACAGCATCATCATTTCTACAAAATTTATTAAGGATTTCAGGTTTTGAAATATGATATTGCATGATAATAGAGCAAAGTTGATTAGAGGGAGACATAAATTCATCGCACCATTGCGAGTAGAATATTTTTAGTGGCTAATACTAATTCACAAAAACCACCTCTAGGCATTTGAAGTGAAAAACCAAATGGCACAGTTACTAGAAGTTTTGCAATTCTTTTGATGACCATGCAAATTTGTAGATTTGGCAAACCATACATTTTAGGGGTTATCGCAAAAAGGGTGGAGTTTCCCAGGACTTATTCTCATTCACTGAGGCTAAGGTGTTCACAAAAGCTTTGAAGTGAGACATTACGGGCTTGTGGAGAACCTGAGCAGAAGGATTAATTAAGGCTACAAAATGTTCCTCCCACCTATTGCAGCCATGCGGCACTCTGTGTCAGATTTAGAATGAGACTTCGGAAAATCAGTATAGAAGTGCAAATTTTTCACCATATGCGCTCAACAAGAGCGCATTGGGAAGTTAATGTAATGAGCTACAAGTCCTCACAAACCTTGTTGATGTCTTTAATAGTTTGTGGCAAGCTCTCAGTTTTTTTGGGCAGCCTTTGTAGTACATTTGCATTTATGAGGACATATGGAGTGATGAATTTTAATTTATAGTAGATTTTATTTGTTTTCAAACAAATTTTTAGTATATTTCTACTTTAAAACAATGACATTGAATATAGCACACTGCTTTAGAAACAATGTTTAAATATGCGCACTGACACTAAAATTTTCACAAAATGTTGATAAGTTGATAATTTATGTAGATTTTGTAGAATAAAAAAGTGGAATAAAAAAGGATACGCATTAACTGATGAATTAGCATTATTGTAGACAGTCATCTGTTTCCTTTTGGGTGTTCCAGTGGAGTCTTGTTTTTTTGCGAGAGCAGACCGTTCCATTGCTGCTATGCTTTCAGCCGTGGGTTTATCCGTGTTCCCACTTGAATGTGTGAGACTGAAGGAGACCCATGTTTCAACAAATTCCTCTGCACCAACGTCATAAGTTGCGCATAACTCGATACCTATATATTTTGATCAAAAAGAGAAAAAATTAACGTGTATAACTAGTTGCTTGTTGAAAATTATGGAAGAGGGATCAGAAAAAAAACCTATTTTTTTACAAAAGCGCCAATGCAAGAGCCAAAAAAAGCAACCAAGGATAATGAAATGCAACAATGTTGGAACTGAGCTCCAGATGGCTTGCAATCGGTGGTCTACTTTTTCATATTTTTTTGGCTTTCGATTACATAGAAGGACTGGAATGGAAGGATTTAGAGAGGAATTGAGGGTGCCATTTCCAGCGTTAAGTCATGGGGTGACTTACGCTAATGTCATTCTAGGTGAAGTCACTTCCTGGTTGATGACACTAGCGCTTGAGGCTAGGAGTTCAGTAGTTCCTTTACACAAGAGCAGTTTACTGGAAAAGTTACACCGTGTACACCAAAAGTATTACGTTCCTATGTACTTCAGATGAAAAAAATCCCTTTTTTCCCTTAGAATAGTTATTTGTAAAATCAATGCCATGTGGATTTACACACTTACAGAATGCACCAGAGAATCTTGTGGCGTCAGATTAAAAATGGTAAAAAATGGAGGTATCAAGATGGCAGATCTTATGACGCAGTTAGAAACAGCATACAGTTATTTGCTGTGGACTCTACCAATTATTTAGAGCTTTGCCAATCGCACATGCTGTTTTCAAATATTAAAGTGGCAAAAGCTTCGGCCACGGATGAATGAACAGTGCACAGCTCAGTGCGGCCTAGAAATAACCATGTGATGTGTCTGCGCATGGCAGCAGTGTCACCTTACATTGCTAGTGGCCTGCGGCTGTGCGGGCACTAGCGAACAGAACGTCGACAAGAGTCAACAAACGCAGCATCGACTCTCGACCTGTTGTCCAAAATGTCGGGGGGAACTTTGAAATATTTTTAATATCCCATTGTTGGTAACTGTAACAAAAGCAATGCATCATTCCTAAAGTAATTAAGCCTTCATTAAGAATCAGTCTGGACAGACGGTAGATGAAGGCTTGATGAACATGAGCCCTTTCGAGGGGGCAACTAATGTGAAGTTTCTAGTTTGATAACTCACACTTATCAAGGACAGGATCCGCTACTTCAATACCCATTTCGTTGAAATGCTCCTCTAATGATTCTCGTGAGACCATGATGACAGAGCATTCACTAAAGCCAATAATACGTTAATACTAGACTTGCACTTGATGAAGAACTGTTATCAATATCACTAAATAACAAAACAAAACACTCTTTGACATATGCCCAGGGCTCTCGCATCAGAATTCACGATGTTCCGGGAGAAGTTCCGGAAAAGTTCCGGGAATTCTCCGGAAATTCTCCGATTTTACAAAAAAGTTCCGAAAAGTTCCGGATTATTTAAAAATGGTAATTTACTCGTGAAATATGCATTAAAATGCAAATTTAAACGGGAAAACAAGTCACACTGACAATTGCCGACATGCAGAGAGCGTAAGCTATAAATTACATACACAGATTTAATTTAAAATTCAGAAAACAAGATTGGCAGAAAAGGCGGGAAGCTTGAATTCGGCAGAAAAGGCGGGAAGCTTGAATTTGGCAGATTAAGTCATCAAAATGAGATTAAGTAACATTAATTCGTCTCTAATCGAAGAAAAGGATTGCACACTAAATTCTGCCCTGTTACTATAATATTTAAGCAAAAAATAAAAATTAAAAATGCACCGAAAAAAGTATCTTCGAGATAGATATCGAAGAATACTTTCATCAGCCTGCCTGCCTGCGTACAGTTCAAATCCATTGTTAAAATTTTGACCCCAGAATGGATCCCGTTTATGGTTGTTGTCACTTTTTTAAGTATCAGTTCTTCAATTCAAAAATTTAAATGCAGAGACAAATTTAGGCAGGCAAGTACTGGAGAATTATTTAGGTATTTTTCTAGTCACATCTTCACTTCTCGAGAAGGGGGAAAAGAGGTCTGCAAAAA